GTTCTTTATATATATATAGATTAAAATATTTCATTTAAATATATCTATATATAGATTAAAATATTTCATAATGTTGTAAAAATGTTTTGGTACATGTACTGTATTTATTGCTTGCTGGATAAAACCCGAAGAATTTTTATTTTCGGGGAGGTCCTTCCGGATATGTCGAGTCCCTTCTTTTTTTTTAAACTCTTTCTGCTCTGTGGGCACTAAGAGGGCCTCTTTTAGCAGGTCCATTATGGGTTCGGCCAGGCCCACAATGGGGCGGCCGGGTGTGAGGGATGGGGCCCGACAAATCCGGACGGACCACCCCCGAAAAATTCCTGGGGATTTTTCGATCCCGGATTCCCCAGAGCGGTAGGCTGCATCTTTACCGCTCGACCATCCGCCACTAGAATTGGGAAGAGCAGAGATTTAAAGAAATTCAAGAAAAGTGGCAAATATTTCTACAAATTAAGTATCCATTACTATCCATCGGAACTTAATTGATGCACGATAATATATTTTAAATATTAGGTTTGTTAGATCGTTACTTCCGATTGGATAATAGAACGTTACGTGTCACAACGGAACGTTATTTAATTTAAAATTTAAAAATACAGTGCAACTTAAGGTAAATGACGTCACTGACATTGGACTGGGCAAAAATAACAGGATTAATAGGGAATCGATATTGATGTACCACGCTTATAAATAAATAAATAAAATATTACTAATAACGACATAATAATATTAAAATAATAACATAATAAATAAATAAATAATACNTTTTCCTCTTATTATTATTATTTTTCCAGAATAATCTTTTAATAATATAATCCATCAGTTCTTGTACCAAAACATATTTTCTCTACGGGATTTTTCCATAATTTTTTATATGTTATCGACTAGGAAATGACCCGTTTCGATATTTGTCTTTTTTTTAATCTCTTTGTTTATGGAAGTGACAGTTATGAAATAAAAACAGTTTCATTATTCTTCCTGTATTAGGTTTAACAGAGATTACTTCTCTTTCCAGTCCCCCATTGCTTGTTTTTGAACATCTGACACAGTTTATCACTAATCGAAGCTTGATAATTCCGTAGACTAATTATAATTAAAAAACAGTATCGAGACTTACTGTCCTAGAAATAGAGGAGTCCAGTAAATAAAACTAATGGAAAGATTAATATCGTAATATTAAAAATAAGGATAATTAAATTCATAAAACACGATTTGATAAATTATTCCCTATATTGTTAATGATGCGTGATCAGTTTCGACTTAATCGTAAGATTTATGTATGTATGTATGTATATTTAATTAAAAATTTAGGTTTAGATGTGAATAAACTAGAACTGGCCTATACGAAAGAGATTTCATGGATTTGAATATAAAATTCTGATGTTTGAATGTAGTTAAAATTTACGATTAAATCCTAAATCTTGTAAGTAAAATAATCTATGCAAATTCTATTGCTATACTTTCTGTATTGCTTGATGGTACAAAAGAGACTAAATAGAAAGGATATTTGCACTGTGCTAAGAGAGTTGATGATTCTTAAAAGAAGCAAAGAGAACACCAATGATTTAAAAATAGAATTAATGAATCAGAAAACATTTCAAAATCAAATAGTTTCTTAATGTAAAATAGCATTAACATTCTAGAGATAGTAATTCTGTGGTTGTTAATTTAAGAGAAATCCTTGCAGTTTCGATTTCAACAGCGAAAATTTCTTTACTCTTTTGAAATTATCGTTCATTAAAGTAACATTATCGATTATTAGGTTAGTTATGTGAAAATGTGCATTTAAAATTGACTTTTTTCCCACCTTTTATATTTTTCATGCGAAGAACTTAATTTCAATTAACAAATCAATGCGTCGGATTTCTTCCAGACAAGGTCATACTTAATGAAGTAGAAACAAAATTAAAAATAACGTAACCTAATGATAAAATGCATCATATAGACTTCTAATAAAAGCAGCCAAATTGCATTGAAAATAATGCCATAATGTATTAAAATTATTTAATTATAATCCCTATTTGTTATTTTTCTAAAACTTAATTACTGGTAAATAAAATTTTAAAATCAATCATGTGAAAGCTTCTAGATTAATTTTATAGCTTTTATTCCTACTTCAAAAAAATCAAATTGCATATTTGATCGCGTAATTTCATTGAAAAAAAATTACAATTCGTTAAAGCAAAATATTAGAAGTTAATCAACTTTGTTCGTTCAACCAAATTTTATTCGGTTCAACGAATCTTGGAGAGTTCAATAACCGTAACAATGGTCGACTTTTACATTTGGGTTACAACCATTTTGTTGTTTTACGAAATTAGCAAAAATTTTAATAATACACAATAAGAAAAAAAGTTAAAGACAATAACTAAATACAGAGAAAAGCGAAATGCGTTGGTTATTATCCAATTTTCTTAATATCTAAATTACTCTATTTGAAGTTATTTTTCAACATGAAATAACTTCATGAACTGAAAGAAATATTGGCCAAAATATAACAAAATTGATCTACAAGCCTTGATAAATTATCTGTCAATATCCCGTACTACACACCAGAATTGTTCCAACTTTTAATTTGTAACCTAGATTCAATCTTTGTATTTGTTTCAGACTCTTATCTATAAACTATAAATAAGTGGAGATAATTTATGAATACGTTATTGACAGACTGTTTAATTATTAATTATTTTCAGCAACAACAGAACCTCCTGCACCCGATCCTTTAGCGGCCCAAAAATGTGATACGTCTCAATGCAAGTTACCAGACTGTTTTTGTAGTTCTGATGGAACGAGAATTCCAGGAGACTTAGATCCTAGTGAAACTCCACAAATGATTTTTATAACTTTCGATGGTGCAATTAATGGTTTAACATACGATAATTATCGATCAGTTTTGAATGAAACTAGGAAAAATCCTAATGGATGCCCGATAAAAGCCACATTTTTCGTTTCTCATGAATACAGTAGCTATTTTCATATACAGAAATTTTATTCCCTTGGACACGAAATTGCAATCCATTCAGTTAGGTAAGTATTTAATTAATATAAACGTAGCTTTAAAGAATATAAATTAATTTACCGTATAATATATTACTATATTTTAGTCATCGAGGACCAGAAGATTGGTGGACCAAGGCTTCTTATGAAAATTGGACTGAAGAAATGGTTGGAATGAGAGAAATTCTTCATAAATTTGGCAATGTATCCCGTGACTCTCTCCTTGGAGTCAGAGCACCATATTTAAAACCGGGAGGCAACGTCATGTTAAATATGATCTACGATTATGGTTTTGTTTACGATAGTTCCCTAGGAGCACCTATGAGTACGACTCCTATTTGGCCCTATACTTTTGATTATAAGATTCCTCACCGATGCTTATCGGGTAATTGTCCTACTCAGGCATTTCCGGGAATATGGGAAATGCCGCTTAACACACTTCATAGCGAGGATGGAACGGGTGGTACCTGTGTGTTAGCAGATCAATGTGTATTTTCAGAAGACGACAATATCATATACGAGTTCTTGATGGAAAATTTCTTGCGTCACTATTCGACAAATAAGGCTCCATTTGGACTGTACTTCCACGTCAACTGGTTTAATGAGCGTGTTAAAATTAAAGCCTTAACCAAATTTATAGAAGCAGTGTTAACCAAATACAAAGATGCTTGGTTTGTCACTATGCAACAGGCATTGTTATGGTTGAGAAACCCTACTCCAAATTCGCAGCTGGCTAATTACGTTCCCTGGCAATGCGAAACGAGAGAACCGGCATGTAATCTTCCAAATACGTGTGCACTTCCATTTACTGCCGGTTACATCAATGAAATTCGTTATATGGAAACATGCACCGAATGCCCCTTAAAGTATCCTTGGCTAGGAAATTACGATGGCTCTTTCAAAGGACAAAAAATCGTAGAGCTGGCTCGTGATAACGAAGCATCCAAAAAGAAGAAATAGATGAACTTTTAAGATGATTATGTTTCTTCTTTAACTGTAAATAACCAGTTCTTGTATTGAACGATAAGGCGATGTGCCAATCATATTTTTTTATACAATGACTTTACAGAATATAAACATATTTTCGTTTACTGATTAATCGTGTTGCAATTCTACACGAGAATATATATATATATATATACGTTGAGAATGCTTATAGAAAAATCCCTCCTAAACGAAGAGGTTAATCTAACTATGGGAAAATGTTAGATTAGATAGAATTAGATTTATAAGTATTACTTATTTCAACATTTAATTAACGATAATTATATTCATTAAATTATCATTTATTTCATATTTTATAATGTATACAATGAGAAATTTGAGAATTTCTTTGATAATTTTTCAAAAAAGCATCTGGTAAAAAATATATTAGTTTATTATTTTGAAGAAATATTTGCAATGGCGCAATAACAATAAATTTTAGTTTTTTCGCTGTATTGTAAATATTTGTATTATTTGATTAACGGTCATTTCAAACTGTAAAGAATAAAAATGATTTTTAAATGAAAAAATTCAGTATATTCTTGTAAATATTTAATGTGAAACATATTATTTCATGTAGGGGTTATCATTAATTAAATGTGTTTCTTAGTTATTTTTCTATGTACAGTATTGTTATTTTTTCCATATAAATTGTATTCCATCATTAAAATACCGGAGAAAAAGAAAGATAAAAGAGAAAAAAATTTTTCTTAAGATAAAATGAACTAAATCTTGATCAATCTATACATTTACATCCGTCTTCTTATATTTATTATTAATTACTAATTAATAATAAATATAATCCTTAGATAGAATCGAAAATTAATAGGCACCATAAACCAGATTTTAAATTTTTATACATAATGTATGAAAATAGGCTAAATACGTCATAATACCTTTTAAACATAACGATTGTAGTTATAATAATTTGCCAAAAACTAAAATTTTATACTGTTTTCTAGAAATTCATTTACTTATTTACAATAAGTAAGTAGTATAAAGTTGACAAAGCATAGGCCTATATAAATATAAGGATACAGGCAACATTATCTATAATACAATTTACTACAAATTAATATACTATATAAAGTTATTGTAGTTTCCTCAACAAACTACAGGTCTTATACTTTATACCTTTATAACCTTATACTAAAGGATCTTATAACTAATACCTTATAGACTTATAATTCTGCTTCCATAAAACGATTTTGAAGTTATTCAAGAAAAATATCGAAAATTTTAAATTAAAATCTTTGAAATTTTAAAAGTAAAATTCTGTCAGAAATACCGTAGTAATTTTGATTGATTAGTTCATCTATATTTACTTTGTATTAATAAAAGGAAATTAATGGATTTTGATCCTTATAAAAATTAATATGTCATCATCTATGTCTCAATGATATGGCATACATTAAATACATTATAATGTAAAAGTATTATTATTATTTTCATGAAATTAAAGTTTATGATTTATTACACGAAACTGAAAAATTACGTAATTTTTCAATTTCATGAAATGTCATACCATAACAATTGGTAAAGCATTTCACGAAACTATAAAATGTAAAAATGTCTTATATAATAACTGCTGAAAATTTATCAAAATAAATAAATGTGAAAAAGTAAAATCTGTTTACAGCTAAATATATTTATACACAGATTATTTTTACATAATTATAGGCTACTGTGAAATTTATAATGCAATTTTTACATGCCCAAAATCTTTTGGATTCAAGAGATACTTGAGATTATTAATGAATATAAATAAATGAAAGGGTATACTGTATTTATTTGGCTCAATATTTTAAATTACAATATAGCCTATAATTCAACAGCTTATTCATTTCCTATTAATCAAGATTTATTTGATGGGCCAAATCGTGTAATAAATCAGAATTTTGTTCTAGAAGAAAGAAACTTAAATCTGTTTCTTTGTTTCAAGTTTTTATTTAAAAATTTTTCATTTTGTTAAATATTAAAACACTGTCGAACGGAATAAAATCTAATAAAATAACAGAAACTAGCAATCACAGCAGTATTTATTTAGAAAAAAATATATATAAATTTCGTCATTCGTAATTTAAAANTTGAGAACTCGATAGCACTTTAAGCCCACTTCAAATTTCTTTTACAATCTCAAAAGGAAGTAATTATTTATTTTATATCCGAAGGTTGTTTTTTTTAAATTTATTTTTAATACTTTCTCGTTACCTTTGATCCATGACAGAGTGGGCTATAGTAACTACACGCAGCATAAAATAATCCCGATTTTGAACTTAATATTAAGTCATAAAATTACTAATGTTTGAATGAAAAAAACGTAATAATCGCTAGTACTGCGTTTTGAGTGACGTTTATAGGATTATACGTCATCTATGTTCTATACTATGGCGTTTAATGCGATAATCGATTACAATATGCTAATGGTTTCTAACACTGTAAGAATTATTAATATCTTCCATAATTTTTTTTTATATAATAATTATTAAATTCGCTATTATAAATTATGCTGGCATGTTTTTCCGTTTCAGAAAGTAAAACTTGAATAAAATCATTCGATTGATAAAATAATTGAAGTAGTTAAAGTATTTGATTGAAAGACATTTATTGAGGTCGTTTTAAATTGGATAAACGACTAAAATGAACGAAAAACTTTAAAATCTATACGACAGAAAGAGATGAAATGAAAATAAAAGACATTTATACAAGCCACCTTGGTCGGAGGCCCAGTGGCCAAGTGGTACGGCGTTGGTCTCGTAAACCAAAGGTCCAGGGTTCGAATCCCTGCTGGGCCTTTCACTTTTTTTTCGAAAAATTTTTGTTCATGTACGTTTATTAATCAATATGTAACTCATTTAGACGCATTTAGTAATTTAAAAAAAATTTTTATTTAAAGATTTTTAATTATTTTTGTAGCAACTTAACCGATGTTAGGAACTGATATCATCCAATTTAAACATTTATAAATATACTATATAGACTTTAAATATGCTTCCTTGCTTATATAAATAGAAAAAATAAAGTTTTAATCAAGGTTCAAAAACCTATTCTATATTTGTTGTCTACAATCCAAATCTATCTTAAATCAATTGTCTTTCAAAACAGTAATTATGTTTACTTATAGAAATGATATTTTCATTGAACTAGGAAAGTGGTTATCTATACACTTTATTATTACCTTGTATTATTAGTCCACATATTATATTGATTAGTCATACACTANTAATTTTACCTGAAGACGACGTGCTTATTTACGTCGAAAGCGCTCGTAAATTAAAAATAATTTCAAGTATATTTAACGCCTCATAGACTGACGTTCTTGGAAGTTTTGATTGACATAAGTTGGCGTGACATCCAACCCGTGAACTCAATACACCTAACAAGATTTTTATTGATGTTATCTTCAGGCAAGAACATCACTTTCAAACATTAAAATTTTAAGAAAGAGTAACATTGTATTCAAAAATTTTTGAATATTTAATGTTAAATATACAAAAAAGGAATTCAAATGTTTTTTCTAGCAGCTGTACGATTAAAATTAATAATTCTCCTATCGTTCATCATTGTTGTATTTAATAACTGTGAAATTAACATTAACAATGTAAAAACTGTTTATAAGAAAAAAAATAATGTAAAAAGAAAAGTTAAAGAACATTTTGCCATAATTATGCAAAATAATAATCCAGTTAATTTAAATACAAGTGTGTTGACAGCTGCATGATGATAGACTTTTGTCAAATATATAGATGAAAATTTGTAATGGAAACCCATAATGGAAAATTATCAGTTTAAACTGTATGCTGAAAACCTACTGAGGAGGCCTAACATTTTTGGCAAAATGCATTTAGGGGATTTGATAATGTAATAAAGTGTTTTTCTCACAAAGTTGGTTTGCTTTTACCTTTTTTTAACTTTAATTTTTATTTCATTATTGATGTAATGTTTTAGAATTTTGAAGTTATCTACTTCTGTAAGTCAGAAAGAAAAGAAACATTGATTTTTCATGTATTTTTCTACAATACAATTAAGTAAGAATTGAAAATATTCTCTACATCTCCTGTAAGTACATCTTACTTAGTTTTAGATTTAGGTACAAATTTAGGCCCATTTTAAAATATTATTCACTAACTGAGGGAGTTCTAAATCTTTTTCAATAAAGTAATTCTTAGTTACATCAAGCTTCCTGATTCTAACTGCCTTAGATTTGAGCTTCTGTAGAAAATCTATTTTAGCTTACTGATATAAAGTGTGGTTTTTGAAGACAGATGAAACGTAATTAAAAGATTAAGATGGTTTTGTCTGATATTTGCAAGAATTCAAAATCTGGAATGGCATTCATAACAGTAGTTAGTAATTTCTTCCAAATACAATACATATTCCTACTCTTATGCTTTAGTAAAGAATTTCAACATCTATTCCAAATGGATCTCTTTAATTTCACATTGAAGAAACAATAGTTTTTTTTTTACCCATTCTTAATTAGTAAAAATTAAACACATCAACAACTATGGAATCCTTTTATTTTAAAGTAAAATATTTTTCAAGCCTGTCTTATCATCAGATCTTTTAAATCAATCCAATCTTGAAGCTTAAAACTGAAGAAGCTTAAGTAGCAAATTGGCCATCACCCTTTGATGTTTTTGTCTAGCATTATAGCATAGTTATCATGGAAATGCACAAAACTTGGCATCATTATAATAATAATATAAATGAACAAACTGTTAAAGTGGAGGTTATCAAAAGCATTTAATTAGAATCATTTCAACCTTAGTTCAAGTCATCCTTTTGTCTAAATAACATTATAAATTCTTCTTTTTCTTGAATATTAACTACGAGATAGAACACCCACTAGGGGGCATCCCAAACTATCATTCTGTGGTATAAATAAAGTGGAGGTTATCAAAAGCATTTAATTAGAATCATTTCAACCTTAGTTCAAGTCATCCTTTTGTCTAAATAACATATTAAATTCTTCTTTTTCTTGACTGATGAACTATATTTTAGATAAATTAGTAGATCTAAGTATAAAAGCTTTCTTTCTTTCTTTCTTCTCTAATATGGAGATTCTGGCATAAAAGCTTTAAATCTGATAAAAACATTAAAAGAAAAAAAAATAACTATAATAGATGAAGTTTTTGACTTTGGAGGAATTATTATAGAATAATCCTTTGAAATCTTTTCAATACAATTGCATTGAAGGAAAATGATTTAAACATATTTACAGTACAGAAAAACAGCATTGAATTATAAATCTTAATAACAAAACTATAATAAAAAATAATGATAAAGACATAGAAATAACTGATTCCGGTTAAGTAATGTGATAAGTGTGCAATTAGGGTTGGTAACACCTTTGTCACCTCCATGCAATGGATCATCCAAGGGGTGGGCTAAGGGGCCCTGGCACCCCAAAAGTACAAGGAAAAGAAACACTAGTAAAGTTTACAAAAATATTTTTCAAATTAAAATTCATTTTTTTATTTGTATTGTGTCGTTCATACTACTGTATTTCTATATTAATTATGAATTAACGGTCACATAAGATGGAAATCGTATTGAATTCGCATTAAAAATTTTTTATCCGTTCAACTCGGCTCCCCCAAGATTAAATCTTGAGTGAGCCACTGCCTCCATGGATCTCTTTTCGTACCAGATCCACGAAGATTCCTTAGTAATGTTTTTTGTACGTACTAATGTAACTTATAAATAGTAATTACTGTATACAGTGTTATTCAATATAATGACAATAATGTAAACAACTAGTAAAATTAAAATAACATCTTTATATTATCATATGTACAACCCATATATATTTACATTTATTATTTTTATAATTATATTATATTTGTAGAAAGTAAAATATTTTTGTATTTTTATTGTAATTTGGTAGTTATGACAGCTCTGAACCAGCAGAACACATCAGAAGGTTTAAAAGGTAGATTAGTATAGAGTTTTACCATTGTATGATAGCTATTAATATTGATAGTGTCGTAGCTAGCTTGTCACATACCCTAGGCAAGATTTTATTTTTGGCGCTCCCTTTTTTGGAAAAACTATTTTTTAAAAAATACGATAGAAATGGTCGGTTATTTTTTTTAAACTTTAAACAAAAACGTTAAGGAATCGGCCTATGGCAGCAAAATTTAATATTGATAATGAAAATACAGCCTAATACTCATTTTTAGACACCCGGTTTCAAGTCTCCGTTCGTCCTGGGCCCTGGACCCTTGCACCCGATGCACATGCCTAGTTGCGGCAGTGAGCGTTGATACAAGCAAGAAGAGCTTGTTCTTTTTACTGTTATAACTAACTACGTGGTTATTTAAAATAATAATAATAAATTTCTGCTGAAACACTGCATAAAAATTTCAGAGTTATTTTGGTGTCATCTGGTGCATCTCCTAGTGACGACACTAGTAATATACTGTACTTAACAAACGCTTGTCCGTATGTACTGTACCTCACCACGCCATCTTTGTTTCTTTGAAAAGGTTTGAATGTTTGAATAAACAAATAAATACCTTCACAGTTAATTCGCATACAGAAATAAATACGTAAGTCGACGACGTTTAATTAATCGACTGTAGTTTTTCGTTTCTTTTTCGTCTACCCGTAAGAATTCTTCAGTTACGGGTAGACGAAACGGGTTCACAATTTCATTTTTATTCAACAGAGGTGACGTTAGTCCTCCCGACCAAAATGCTTTCCATTCAGTCAGTCAAATGAAACACAATATTAACATACTGTAACTAAAACATCTTGCTCTTAAAGTAATTTAGAATGTGTACGTAATTATGATATAATTTGTATTTATAGAAAGTCATTTATTTAATGATAATTAATGAAATGCGAGGTCAACCCCGTCACAACACCGAGAAATTTGCAAGGGTCAGATAATCGGGAATTTAATGACTTGTATGGACATACAAAATGTTCGAAAATCAAATAAAAAAGAAAAAAACGTCAGATGGAACTTTGAACCACGAAATCAGATATGTTTATTAATTCGGTTTGGTTTTTCGTAATACAGCAACGCAACACATGGGCGATCAGCCAAGAAGAATGTCTCCCGGGAGAACTTTTCATGGGAAACGTCTATTCAGATTTACACTTGAAGAAAACCCGGTTTGGTCTGGTTTTATAAAGCAACGCCACACAAGAGCGATTAGCTGAGTGAGGGAATGTCTCTCGGGAGGTCTTTGTGGCCCGGAAAACTCAGTGGACAGCTCGTTGGTGAGGCGTGAATACTGGTCGTGGGTTCTCGCCAACGTGCTGGCCACTGAGTTTTAATTAAAGAATAGTCTTATTGAAATATACAATATTATCACCCCAAAAATCTTTCTAAGACTAGAAAATATTAAAAATGTAAATATGTTTTATGTATAGCAAAGTTAAACATAAGAAAAATCTTGAGAATACTTTTTAATATTAATATATATTATTATTTACAAATCACAATACAGAAATGTCACTAGATGGAAACGATTCCTGTATTTTGTATTTAATCAAATAGTTTTTATTCATTAGTTTAACTCACGCGATCGAAGGTGTTATATTTAATAAATCGCAGAAGTTATTTATATTGTTGTATAAACAAACACAGAAGAATTCTAACGGACTTGTTTATCTTGTTAGAGTGGAATATCACGATACAGGAATTGACGAAATGAAAAAAATCCATTTATTTTAAAATTCCTGTAATTCAAACTACTCACTTAGTATTACTGAACCATAATTAATAAATTTTGTGTTGAAAAATAATTTATGATCATTAATATATTTTGGATAAATATATATTTTTTTAATATCATATTTCTGAAGTGCATATTAAATATTTGCAAATGAGCTCTGCTTAAAAGTATCGAGATATGATCGAGAGTAACGTTAATGCAATTTCTGATTATCGATTGCTAAAGTTATATGTAAAGTATATTAATCTTTGAAAAAGATATGACAATCATGAACAAAATTAATTTATTACACATATTTTACAAATTCTTACAAATGTACATAAATATAATTTTTAATATTAAAAAGGCATACATTTCGCATTTGATAGCTCTATTTTAAGGCTTATGTAATTTCCATGCCTACGATGAAAGCTCAAATTTAGTTTAACAAGATATTTAAGATTTATTTCAACATTAACTTTTCCAATTTTTTAAATTTTATAACTATACACCTATGTAACAAATAACAATTATGTTGGCCTATGTATGTCTAAGTATATATGTATGTAATGTATGTATGTCTAAGTACACTATGTATGTCTGAGTTTATCACGAAGTGAAGATTGTAGTTAAAACAGGAACTGCAATATACCTATAGTTTTATAAAAGTTTCTTACAAGCCATTTTTCACACGTAGAAAAATGAATTTTTTAGACAGTTAAACTCCTGAGTTAACATTAATATTAAACGAATTCTATCAATCATGCTAACCACTTGAACGTTTATGGATTTTTTTTTTATATGAAAAACATTATCTCATATTAAATACAGATTAAAAAATATCCTGATAATTTTACCATAAAATATTTTTCTAAATAGTTTTGTTTACTCCATGTCATTGATTTCAAATAAGTACATGGCTATAAAACTCGTTTAATGTTAGTTTTATCTCAGTGCCTAAATTCTAACTTCCAGTTTATTTTGTACTGTTTAAAAAAAAAGATATTGATATATACATTAAAAAAAAAGAAAAGGAAAATTTGGGTTTTCTGAAGTACCCAATAACAAAATATATTGAGTAAACATCTATGAAAATATTTAATGTTTTCATAATGATTTCTAATTATAAATTAAATACTGTACATATAAAATATGAATACTTTGGTAACGTTAAATGACTAGGCAAATAATTTTACAAAGAGCAAATAAAAATATTCATTATAAAAATATATTTATATACAAATATTGTAAATGACTCAATATTATCTTCAAAACGATGATTAAAATTAGAAAAATGCCAGAAATACTGTTATTTAACCGAAAATGGCAATGAATTAAAACGAAACTTTCACGCGAAAATTTCATTATTATAATACTGCACATTGAATTGATGATAGAAAATTTGATTTTGAATAACTTTGGTTTTACGTGTCTATTTCTGAACTCTCCACACGCAGCGTCGTGTCACTTTCGTTGAATTTTGGAGGATTTTTAAAACGTCTCGAACCTTTGCTAACAAGATGAGATTTCGTCCAATCAGTTCTGCCACCACCACCTCCACCTCCTCCGCCACCACTACCACCAGCAACTACGGACATAAAGTGAGCGACCACAAAGCGATCCTAAAAAGAAATTAATACAAGTTACATTTATACGAATCAGGATAACTCTTAGATAAACATTTTTAAATATACAAAGGATAATAAATAATTTTATTAATGGCCAAGCAGGGACGGAACTACTAACGTTGGTGCTCTAATGCAAATTTCCAAATATCCTACAGCGGCGGTTCCCAGACTATTGAATACTGAATAATTACACTAACCACTTTAAAATCAAAATGTTTTCGAATTCCTATAATATACTGTGTATATACTCGTATATACGTTTATGTGAGAAACGACTCATACTTTATTTTCTTATAATTACTGTATCCATGTATAGTATAGTACAGGTTTTTAGAAAAATAGGAAACGCATATTACTAGATATCTTATGAATGTATGGTGTTTATTTAAAAAAAGTCATTTATGGTGTTTATTTAAAAAAAAGGTGTTTACAGTTTCAGATTTAATTTAAAAATAAATTTTACTTATTAATTTAACAAATTAATAAATATAGTATCAACAATAGACTATACAAGTTTTTAGTACGAAAATAAACATCGTAGATGTATGTATTAAAATCGTGTTTTACAGATTTTTCTCTTTAAAAACGCGTTTATATTTTTATTAACGTTTTTGCTTATATACTCTTTAAATCAGCGCCCTATTGTAATAGACGGGCGACTCTTACAATAGGGTACGCCGCAATGCTTACCTTTCTTATAGCTTAGTATTGCCCATGACTAAAAGAATAGTTATCCAAACCACTAAAAGAGTAATTATTATTAGTATATAAAAAAATCTTTGAATTGAGGTACTGTACAGTATTAGTAGCAACAGTAAATTGCTAACACCCAATTCACAATTTGGAATTTAGGCTAATTTACCGAACATAAATTTACTTCACCTATAATTTCGCTTTTATTTTCGAATCTTAGTTGTAAAAACTAAGATTCCAAAATAAAAGCGAAATTGGATAATGTAAATCCTTAAATACTTTTTTATAAATAATTTTCGAATGTTTTCATTTGATAGAATTTGTTTACATAACAAATGAAGTTAAACCAATTAAAACAGTAATGTAAATTATAATTCATTAAATAAAACGAATAATTATTTATTGTGACATAGTCACAATGCCGGGCTGCAATTTTTAATAATATTTTAAAATTTATTTTATTTAAAATATATCCTCTCCACCTCAAATTAGTAGACTACTGTAGTGTCTTGCCTCTGTACATCATACTTTTCCGTTATCAATGGAGTCGTGCCGGTTGTCTATTAACTGCTTTCAGGGGAAAGTTTTAAATTGAAATAACGTGACTTCCGGTTTGCATCGGAAATTCGTGTATAGTTAATTGGGGCCTTCTGTCCCTAAAAGTTTCGATATCTGGTCTTGTCTTTATCCATCTAACTCCGTTCTCGAGATTAAGAAAAGGACAGACGGTCGACAGTGGGAATTTATAGATTAATATTTTTTTTTCAAATTGCAGCCCAATTATATTTTCTATTTACAAATAACAATGTAAATTCAATTTCATATTTTCTAAATTAAATTTTAAAAATAAGCCGAAGCTTTTCAATGTTTCTTAGCAGCAACAATATTATAACTACAAATACTTACTCTTTTCCTATCTAATTTAACAGATTCAGGAGTATCAGGTATGGCAATGTCCAATAGAAATTTTACAGCGAAAACAAAATGCTGAATGAAAAACGTATAAAAATTACTCAATAAAAATTATGTATTTTAAACAAAAATTGATACATTTAAATTACAAACCTCGAAGATTAAAATAACTATAAGCTGTTGTGTCAAAGAATATTTTCTTCCAAACTTAGATGTGAATGCTATTAGGCAAGCATTACTAATAGTGCCTAATATATTAACAAAATGAATAATGTAAAACCATATGCCTGTAATGAAATTTTTTAATAATTAGCAACTATAAACAAAATTTAAAAATTATAATGCAAATTATATCAAACCTACCTATATCATTATCTCTGTAAGGAATTGGTCTCCTATTCCACCATAATAGTCTTTTGGCATCGATTCTTAAGTCCACTACATTAAATAATAGTGCTAAAAGCGGTGCTAATGGAAACGATGCAGCAAACAGCTAAAAATTATCAAATTCAACATTTAATACATGTACTGTATAATTAATTTCAAATTTATAAATTAAATAACAAATTTTACCATAATGTATCCGTATTGTATAACTTTTTCGGTGAATTCATCCAAGCGAAAATTTTCTTCCGTTGGCTTAAGCATTTCTCTCATCAAATAGTGTTGTTTTGAATTACTGATTTGATTCAAACCTGAGAGTGATCTGAATGCATTCTTCAGACATCTGAAAAAATTATATATAAATAAAATTCATATTAAAATATAGATCTATTTAATAAAATTATAAACTTATTTCTAAGTAAGATATTTAAAAAATTAAGCAAAAATGCCTTACGTATAGATTTTACAGTTTATGATTTAGTAACTTAGCAACGTCATAAACAAGTCAATAAAAATGATACAAAAAAGTTAATTCCCGTTAGTGTTTACAAAAGGAATTGCATTTAACGGGAAATATATTTTGTACAGCTCTTCTAATTAAAATTCTACATACGTTTTTAACCACTAATTTATATTATCTACAGTTCAGTTCATTTAATATTACCTAAGCAGTTTGTATCATAACTTTTTTTAATATATGAATATTTAAAAACACAATGTAAATATAAATAAAGTTAAACTTACGGAATAATAATATCTGAAGTAAATTTGGGTACGGGTTTCATAATCATTAAAACTAAAAGTTGAAAAGACAAAAGTGACATACAATTGTCATTATCCTGATCACCACAGTTATCTTGATATTCTTTGCCCATTCCAAACATACCATTTTCCCCTAAATCCTATTAAAGTAACAAACATTATTGAAATCTTATACGAAATCTAACGTCATGCCTTAAAACTTAAAATACTTACTTTTCTAAAAAATGCAATATAAAATAGAGATGTATAAGTATTAGCAAACTGAAAGGCAAATAATTTAATGATTAAAGCATCATTGTAAGCACTTTGGGTCTGATGGTTTTCTGTAAAGAAAAAATATATATATACACCTATGTCATCGATTTTTAGTTTAGTAGGACAGATAAAATAATATAGATAGGATGGTCACTCACCCCAATCTGTAAGTTTAACAGCTAGGAAATTGTAAATCTAAGATTACATAAAATTGTGGTTAGTCATGTGTTTACAAGTAATTTTTTAAGAATAAATAAAACTACATACCCTTCCTAATATCATGATAGATATAGTATTTAACGTAGCGGCAATAACAGTACCGTGCAACATTTTACATTTTGTATTTTCTTTGCATACATTTACATCTGTATATAATCTGTACAGTATTACAGATGTTACGCTAATGAAGACAACACAGACCTATTTGATACACAATATTAATGGCTATTAATGAACTTAATACTATCTTAACTAGATATAATTTATAATTTACATACCATAATAACTAGAATAAAACTTGAAAACAGATATTTCAAAAATCTTCGTCTAAAAGGATAATATTCTTTCATTTGTCTGGTAAAAGGATCTTGATAACATTCTGTTCCATAATATTGTGGACGTTCTTGTTCTGCCATGTCAAAATTTTCAACATGCCACTGATGAGCTAAAGTAGCCTGTTTCCTTTTCCATACTTCTAAAAATATTGTACCTGTTAATAGAAAGTAAAAAAGTGATTCATAACTCCAAACAAAGCCGATTAAAAGTATACACAGCAAACAACGAACAACTCATTTCTTTCTATATAAATTCAAAAGATGGTAAAAGTTTAAAAATAAAATGTTTAACTTTTGAAAATGTTCACTCAAATTATAATTCTCTATATTAATACAGTATGTATCTATTATATATAAAACTAGCTTACCCGTCGCGCATTGCTGCGATCTCAGAATAAATGAAATTCAAGCAAACTCGTTATGATAAAATTAAATTTACATTTTATCATTTTTATTGAAACTTATTTTATTATTATTCATTTTCATTGGGAAAACATTTCAAAGTGTCGTTTCAATTCTATTTATTTATTGGAGTGTTTGTGGATACACGATATTTTTTGTTTTTCCGTCTGGTGCGTACACGAATAAATCAGAAGGTTTTCCGACGCGTGAGCCGGCCACATACAGTTGTCCATGCGAGAAGCACGGATTCTCCAAATTTAGCCCACACACTCGCAGCGATTGTCAGAAGTGCGATATTCCCCATTTTTATATATATTTTTTAATCCTTTACAATTTTAATTATTTAATTGCTCCTTCCTCTCTTCCTTGGCATGTTGTGAAATTTCTGATAGTTGGATAATAAACCGTTTTATTGTAATTTGTCTTTTTAAATTATTTTGAGTCGATATTAAAATTTGGAAAAGGGGGATACCTAGATCGGTAAAATAGGCGAATTTCTTCCTACAACTTCGGTCGTTGTTCGGGGTACAGTTAAGATTTTAACGAAGTTCGAGCGAAAACATAATTAGCAAAAAAAGTCGAAATAAAGTGATTAAACAAAAATGATTACAAATATCGTAAATAACAGTTCACAAATGCATATATAGAGATATTTTTTGAAGGGGGGAAATGGTCTTCACAATTTGAAATCGATCAAACACACTATGCGCGAATGCTCGTGTAAACGCGCGCCATCTATCGTAGGATAAATGTACTTCGCGGGAGTGTATTAAAAAATTAAAAAAACTTTCCAAAGTTTTATGGCAATCGTACTATGCCACAAACCTTCGCCGGAGTATATTAAACAACTTCCCAAAGTTTCACGGCAATCGGATAAACGGTGTGGTAATGCATGAAGGACACACACACACAGACACACATACATTCATTTTTATATATATAGATAAGGGGTATGTAAAATATGTATTGATATATAGAAGTCATTCTAGAATTCCAGTAGCTTAATAATATCTTATTTATGAATTAACAGCAATACAATTTTCTTTACAAAATAATAAAGCATAATGAAAACTTTAAAACAAAATGATAAAAGATAAAAATTTATGATTAGTCCTATATAAATTTTAAAAATTTGTTTCGAAATTTCATATCAAATTTAAAAAATGGCCATCATTTTTATTTAAATAAAAGAATTACGATCAAAATGAATTTCGTATAAATGTATAATTGACATTTCTTATAGGCATGTCTATTAAATTGTTAAAATAACCGTTAATTTCCGAGTTAACATCAAGTTAGAAATAGTCACACAACTGTTTAGTTTAAATAATTCGGTTTATGTCCCTTTCAAAGACAATGCTAGTAATTACTAGTATTGTTTTTGAAAGAGATAAACCCATTAAGTTAATCCCGATAAAATAATTACATTATTTCTTTTTATTTAAATTATTCCTATTACGGAGTTTAAAACACGTAATACAAAATTTTACTTGTGTTTACTTTAAAAATCTGACTTACCCCAAAGGCAAATAATGAAGGCAAAAGCTGGAGTAAAGATGTTATCACTGGACGATTTAATGACATCGATACCGTACAGGAAACCTTTTCTGTCATCTTTAATACTGAAAAATAATCATTTTTATATAAATAACAATAAGAGCAAATAACATACGTTTACAAATACTTTTGAACGTCACTTACACGGTACCGTTCTTAAAAATAATTTCTTCGTCATTTACTAATCTATGAAAATTGAAAGATTATAAATCTCTTATACAAAAATAAACGTAAATGCAAATATAATTTGAATGAACCTCGTGATAACTCCGTAAATAAATACAGCTACTCCTAATACAGCTGGTATAAACAACGATATAATAAGAGTTCCAACCCATGCAAAATAAAAAGTAATTTTCTCTCCAAAGTAATCTCGTATCAAAGGAAGAGGCTGGCGTTTAAAAAACTTGGTCCATTTTCCATCCAATACTATCCTGGTATCTTCTATTATTGAAGGAACACTTGGTGGAGAAATATCTTCACTCATTTCCACAATAGAATTATCATATCGCACTGGAACTTCATCGCCACTTTCTCGAGAAGAACGATCGTGAAGTATAAAGGCATCCAAATATATTTTTTTTAACAGCATATTCAGTAATCCTAATTAAAAATATCGCCGTTACAATCACTTTCTCTATAATTAAAAAGAATAAAATAGATAAATTAAAACTTGCCTTGTTTTTCGGTGAACGTTAAGTTACTTAAATTTGCGACTTTTCCCATGTCAATATTGATTAAAATATTATGTACCTGCAAATATTATGTACATTATTTTGTATGTCGTTCTTTATTATATCTCTAAAAATCTCAAAGTTTAATATTAATCCACATTGTTACCAATAAGCATCGAGTCGCTTGTGTAAAAAATGTGTCCCGTTGTTCCTGAGTGATAAACCAATCTTTGCAATCCTTGAGAAAGGGGGCTACTATATGACTGCCTATAAAGTAATTAAATTGCTTTGTAAAAGATATGAAATATCTTAAATATAAAAAAAACTATATAATTTATATAACTTTTCTTAGTTTATTTTATATATAGTTTGATATTATAATTTATATACAATATTTCCATTATATAATAAATATTTAGTTATGAATTAAATTGACTTCGAATGATTCAAACGTTTCAACGAATTTGAATTAACCTACATGTATATATACATAATTTTTTTAAATGTTATGTTAGAATGAACCAGACCAATTCGAAAAACTTGGCTTGGTATAACACCGAAAAGAAATAAATAGTACAGCATTCTAAATTTAGAACTACGGGGAGTCTTCCTTCTTTTTAACTCAACGTACAATAATAAAATTATTAAGATTTACTTTTTTCGTCCATGCCGAACATTTTCTTTACTTTATCTTCGCCCAAAAATGATTGTCGAGATTCTCTAGGTTCGTCCATTTCGGAAATAATCTATTAAAGTTTAAAAAAAATTAATTAATATAGTTTTGACATTTAAAAAATGCTTTATGCTTTATTAATAAGGGATTAAAAGCGTAGGTATAAAATCAAATAGCCAACATTTCAAATCTATAAATTCACGTATAATTTGTTCTAGAACACTATGTGAAAATGGTGATCGTCTAAAATATATTTTTAGAGCGACTTTGTCTTTAATTTGTAAAAAAATAATTTATTCATCCGACGGAAATTCAAACGTAATTTTTAATTTAAAAATTTATTGTAAATGGCCTAAATATAAAGCTTTGACTTATAAGTAAGAAATATTGACAGTTCTGTTTATAATACGAACAATATTTTATTATAAGGATACCAAAACAAAGGACAGACAGTCGGACGACATTCCCACTGTCATCCGTCCGTCTATTCTTTGTTAATCTCCAGAACGGAGTTAGATGAAAACCGAGACCGGGTGTATGAAGCTTAGGGGCCGGAGTCTCGACTAACTATAAAAACCGAGCCAACACGTCTAACTTTCAATTTCTGAATTCGCATTTTAGTCTGTAATTTGAATTTGTTAATGGAATCGCATCGTTCGGAGGAAATTGATAGAAACCACACCCGAATACATGTAGGCCACATAAATAGGGCGTTTGTCTATTTAATTAAATCGCATTAATATTTATAAGATGTTCCGAATAAAACAGAAAACGAAAGAATCGATGACATTTTTATCTTCATTTAAATATTAAAATTACTATCTGTATAATAAATATTCGGTTTTAATAATTTTTATGAACTGTAAATAAATTTTTGTTAGATACTGTAATTAACGATTTATATTAAATTTATCAAATGTTTTGTGTATCTTTGAATTCGCAAATTTTGTATATTTTGATTGAATTTAATGAAATATTACAATTTCCAAGCGTGCGAGAAATAATATCGCTTATAATTTCTTAAAGTCGATTTTCCTGTAGAAGTAACAACAATAGGACCAGATTTTTTTCAATTGTTATAGTGTACTGTATATTTGCGTGTTCATCTGAAAAATATTAAATTGCGCAAACAAAATTTAATAAAATATTCACACGCAATGTAATTTTTATGTTCACCGAAAACTTTTGTAGACTTACATAACAACAATATATGAAACCATAAACAAAAGGCGCATTCAAATTAATCATGTAACAAAACAGTTTCGAATTTGACTTGTTTCACATTTAACTATAGATTTAAATATAAAACGTTCTAAATTTTTATATAAAATGCAGGATTTTCTACGTTGGACATGGGAAAGATAATTACGTTCTATCGATTGAAGTTATCGTGATTTATAAGACAAAAATAGAAAAGAAAGATCCCTTGGAGAAGGTTGACTTTCAAAACTTGTACATTATTTATTTAAAGTCAATACTAACTGATATGTATGTTAGCCAGATGACACATCCTCCCAATATCCGGTACACAAGTTCCTAATTAACAGGGTAGATTTTCTAAAAGATTATATTAAGGAAAAAAGAATTATAATAAAAGAAAACTAATTTCATTAAAAGTTCAAATCAACATACATACAATCTAACTTATAAAATATTATAGGAAAAGACAGAGCTATATAATTAATTAATTATATAGCTCTATCTCTAATTAATTAATTATGACTCTAATTTATTCAATTACTGTATATTTATACCGGCATAAACATTAGAAAATGTGTTTAATAAGTTTAATGGATATGTTTATCATCTGTTGATGTAATTATACTTGTATTATTATTAAAGAGAAGAATAACGTAAAATACAACGCCATGATGTTTCGATATACTGTACAGTATTAGAAACAGATACGAAATTGTCGAGCAAAACTGGAAAAAAATCTTTCTTAATATTGACGATATTAAAGTTGCATGATTTGAAAAATTTAACAGTTATTTCAGTTCTATAAATACATTTATTATCGAGTTCAAATTAATGAATACTAAAATATATTATCACAAGTTATTAGCATTAACACAACTATCGTTTAGGGATGGATTATGACAGGTTTCTTTGGCATTCTGTAGAAACAAGCAACTAATTGCAAAATATAAATTATTAAACTTATTAAATAACTTCCCAAGCAGATACTATTTGATTTGCATGATCAGTGGCGGATTAAAGTCATTGAAGGCACTATCACTATCCAATAGTGGGATCCTTTTGTGAACAAAAAATAATAATAATTTAAATAAGTTTTCTAAAAATACTAAACTTTTTAAAAATAAACAGAAAACGAGCTTTTTTATTTACTAAGATCAGCTTTCTACTTAACTTATTCTTTGCTTAGTGTAAAATAAAATTGGAATTAAATGAGTCTTATTTACTTTTTAATTATCGAATCACATATTTTCCCCTCTTAAAATTACAAGAAAAAAATTCAGTTAATTTGGGAGTTTATAATTATGGGGCTCTTCACATTTGCAAATTACGTGAAGTAATAAATTCTCCAATGTGCTTGATAGATATTAATCAGGGGTACTCTTAATTCTTTGTCTGCAACTCTCATTTTATGATTTTTTTCAACGCAAACACTGTAAATAGGTAGTCTTTCAATTTAAAAAGTTGGTATCACGATTTTAAACTTTATATATTTTGTAAGCATATTATTCTCAAACAATAAATAGTAATTGAAAACTTACGGAAGCCATAACTTATGAAAAAAAAACGGTTTAAATTACTACAATATCTTGCATAAATTAACAGCCTGTTAAAATTTTAAAAAATTCTGGAAATTAAATAAAAACAACAGTATGTAATATAGAAAATTATCAAAGTTCCATTAATCATAGAATATTTTCAAGATTAGAATAATTTTCATGAGACTTTATAACGAAGTAGATGTTTTCTTGATGAAAGACTCTGCATGATGTAACATCGATAACGAGAAGACAACATTCATAAAACTAGTACTTTCCCGCATGCTGACTTAATCGATAAAACATTATTGGGATAAAGTGTGCTAATTCTATAACAAAATTTATGGAAATAAATTAACCTAAAAACTTATTTCTTTTGACTGAAATTTTAACACAAAGCTATTTTTATACTAAATTTATTCCTGTGACGATTAAAAATATATTCAACAATGTTACTAACACGAAATTTAATATTAACTGACCAAATTTTTAAATACTCATTATATATGCTAATGGTTTTATTTCTTGAAATTACGATCACTGATCGATCCTAATATTAAATTCATGTAATATGTTTACTATTAATCATCAAATTTTATTATAATTTTTTATCTTTTTAATAGCTCTATATTAACTGAAACATATCGAGAAGCAATATTGTATTAATAAACTGAAGAATTTTTGATGATAGATAATTGAATTGAAAGTAAAATTTATTATTTTCGTTAGGCCTATATTTTTGATAAAATATAAAATTCTGAATTATTTAGTTGCCTTTTTTAAATATAAATTTATTCCTTGTCCCATTCTAAGTTAATAAAAGAGTTAAGGTAACAACGAATAAACTTATTAATACAGTGGTACCTCAGGTTAAGAACGCCCCAGCATACGAAATTTTCAGGATACGACATAAAATTCGAACATATTTTTGCTCCACGATACGAACAAAAACTCACCATACGACGTTACATTAGTTCGCATTTTTCATTTGTTTTTCTTACTACAGTTATTTTTTTAATGTATTACTTGGCTTTAATTTGAGTATGTTTTTCGCGTTGGAACGAATTATTTGGTTTTACATGTAATCGTATGGGAAAAGATGATCCACCTTACGACATTTTCATGATACGATCTCAGTTTCGGAACGGATTAATTTCGTATCCTGAGGTACCACTGTATAATAAAAATGCAAATTGAACTATGGAAATGGAACTGTGGAAATAGAACAAGAACAGCTTTCTATAGAAAGCATTCAAATTACTATCAATATCTTCTATTATTAACTATTAATAATGAAATAATTTATAAGTATTACAAAATGCTCCAAAAACACAATTTTATGGAGAAATATAACTAGATTCAATATTCCTATTTATTTTAATATTAATAATATTTTTTTGTTTTTTGCATACTTCTCTATTTATTTCCGGTAGAATAAAAAGCAAAAAAATGTCCTTGATAAATAAATATACATTTTACCGTGAAATAAATTATGAATATATTATTATAAATCTATATTCAAATTCATAAAAATTTTAAACTGTAAAATGCAATAACAGACAACACCTTCAATTGTTTTCTTATATGTTTTACAAACAAATTTAATTATTTAAAATATCTTTTACTTTTTACTCGAATGAATACGCTAAACAACGTCTTTATTAAGTAAGAACAGTAATTACTTTCATGTGTGTGTAAAGAAAAGATTTCCTCATCACTTTTCCATACAAACAGGATATAAATTAAAGGCTTAGTTTTTTTTTTTATCTGTCATTTCTTAGTTTTATATTTACGAAAAACCAATTTATCAAAATTATAAATCAACATAAATAATTTATCATCTTTTTTTTCAGCTTAGTTTTCGCAGCATTAGGAGATAAAGACCTAAACAGTTTCGAATTTCAGTTTTATTAAATCATTTTCCGTAGGAGGATAGTCTACATTAAGAGCAGTTTTCTATAGCTTTCAATCCTTTTAGAGATTAAATTACAAATTTCTAGAAAGAGCACGAAGACTTGTGCTCTTCATAGAAATTAATTACATTAATTAATATAACCAAACAAGATATTTTTAGTGATTTAAATAACTTATTAAGTGTTGTATTAATAAATGCTGTAATAAATTTATTATTTTTTTAAAGTAGGTCATTCTAGATTTAAAAATGATAATTATCTCAAAAATTACTAATATAAATTTTGAAACAGTAATTTCCGATGTTGAGTTAGTCACAAAACATCCAATTTCACGTATTTAAGTCTAAATTATAAAGTAATCTGCCAATACTTTGGAAATTTGTATACACAATAATAACTCGTATAACCACTTTTATTCTGCCGCTGGCAAGGACTTCACCATTTAACTCTATCACTATTCCTTTTTTTTTAATTTTCCGTACGGGTGAGTAAGTCGTGCTGGCTTTGTATTTGCTCAATGTAAAGAAAGTACGAATACCTGGAAATAATAATGTTTCATACCTATTCGTTTCGAATATATTTTTTATACATTAAATACAATTAAAAATACAAATAGTAAAACAAATACGGGTATTTAAAAAAAATTAATTAACTGGGTAAAGAGGTTTCAATATTTCACCTATTTTGTATAGGAAATGTATAATATTAGTGTTGATATTGAGTAACATCCGTTTGTCAAATCACGTTTCCTTTAAAAATTTAAAACAAAAAAAATAAATAAATAAATTTACCCAATCGAGTCCAACTAGAGGGAATTCCATCTTTAACGTTTGGGCTTCTTCACATAATCTTCCAAAAGGGCAATGGATTTTTATAAATACGTATTTTCCGATCTTTTCCTCTTCCAGTTCCAGACCTTCCGCCTGCATTGCCATTTTAAACATCTGTCTTTGTTTTTCTTTCATCATCTTTACATTCTCGTTATTTTCTTCGTCTTCGTCGTCGTCGTCACCGTATTCATAATCAATTCTTTCGTACACCAGAACATAATCTATGGGTTTATTGTTAGCGTTTTGGCCGATTGACATCTTTGGCACTTTTACAAACAAACTGAATGATGAAGATTTTAATGTTCAGAACGTCGAAATCCCTAATTAACGATTAGATATATTACTCACTTGTTACGATTTCTTCTGCAAACTTTTACTTTAAACATAACTTTATTGTCTAAGTTACTTATACTACATCTTTTAGAGTCGGTACTTTCACCTTTGACAATCATCTGCTCGATTGCGACTGCATTGCTCGTCTGTCGACCAGCAGGCGACTGACTGACCGACTCTAACGCCCTCTTTGGTTCGCATTACTCAACACAAAAAAATTAGTAATATTATAGTAATAAAACGACTATAAACGATTTATATTTTTCTTTGGACATTTATATTATAATACGCTTATATTAAAATGAATTAATCTTATTAGATTTTGTAGATTTTTTATGAAATATATTTTACTATTAAAATTCGTTTGAAAATAAACCTTTGATATTATATCGATTAAATGTAAATTATCGGAAATTAGAATAATTGTGTGATGATTAATTAACGGTTTATCTTATTGTTATTTTAGGCTTAAAATATTAAAATTACCTTATATGAAATTTAAATATTTAGGCTTTTACAAATGTCCTTAAAAAACCAGCGATTTAACGGTTATCCGTTGTTAAAAGATTAATTTTGTATGAAAATTTTTCATTTCTGCATTAATTGAACGTTATTCTAAATATTCTCTTATTTTAAAATTAGAAGCGATTTAATCTTTTATATTTAAATTAATTCTTTATTCGAATAATGAAAATACAACCCGAGCAACCGTTATTTGTCATATGAAGCGGTACTCGAATTTAATAAAAATTGTTATTTGTTAAAATCCTTATTGAATAAAAATATTTTAATTGATAAATAATCTAAAATATTTTTTAAAAAATTAAATTCAGTTTATTTATTTTTAAATTTATATAGGAGAAGAAATAATCTATGAATATAAAATAAAGAATAACTTAAATTTATATTGATGTATTATATTCATAATGTGTTCAATTATTTTTTAAATTTATTATATTATAGTTTTTATAATTTATATATATTCAGTTGAAAGAATATACTCACAAGTATCAGCTAAAGCTGACAATTAAATCTAATAAAAAATGTTCTTTGAATAGAAAATAAGAATTACACTTTGAATTAAGTTTGAAAAAATTCTGATAGTTTTATTAATTTAATAAAAATTTTTTAATTTCTTATCAGATTATTATTATTTAATAAAAATTGAATCATTTTATACTTTGTATATATAATTACATATATATTTATATAGTAGAACATAATGCTTTTATTATTTTTCTTTCTTTAAGTTCACTTGTTTAATTGTATAAAAAGTTTTAGATGAATTTTCTTTCAATCGAAATTGTTTTATTTAATATTAAATAATATATAGGTTTACTGTATATAGTTAAATGTCTAGGCAGTAAATTGGAGGCATTATATTTCACAAATCTATGTGAAATACAATCGCTTTCAATTAATCCTTTATAGAAATTTGTAATTCAAGAATAATGTGTAGACTATCATTTATAGTAGGATGGCCAAGAGGTTAAGTAAAGATTCCATTTCTCTGGGAAACTACGAAGTCCATTTACTTCAATTTGCTGATGATACAGTGGTGTTATCCACTACCCCGATTTATCTACAAAGAAAACTGGACAGGTTATATAATTATTCCTCTAATTTGGGTTTGCGCATTAATTTATCAAAGTCGAAAATAATAATTTTTAGACAAGGTGGAAGGTTGAGGAAAGCTGATAAGTTTTTCTTAAATGGTAGAGGAGTCAGTATTGTTAATGAAGTAATATATTTGGGGATTCGTCTCTCAGCTACTGGCTCGTTCCAAAATTACATTTCTTACGTTAAAGGTAAAGCATTTTCCAAGATAAATGTTATTATAGACATCTTGAGAAAGGTTAAAAACAGCCATATGGCTTTATGTAAGAAACTTGCTGCCTCTCTTTTTACTTCGAGTTGGTCTTATGGTTTGCCCTTTTAGGGGCCTTTTTGCTTTGAAGATATCGACTCTATAGAACTGATGTTCTTTCGTCGTCTTTTTGGTCTCGAGAGGTCGGTCCCATCGTATGCAATCAGATCAGAATTGGGCCTTGAGTTTCCTCGGAAACGCTTGATAAAACTGAACTTAAATTTTCTGACAAGCTTAATCTCTGACCCATCATCTTTGGAATGCGAGGCTTATTTAACTTTCAAGAAGTTTCCATCGAAACGATCGTTCAAATACTGTTGGTTTACTAAACTATTTTTTTAAATATTGATCATTTAAAATATTTGAAAAAAAAGAAAAATTTAACATATATCTTTTATACAAAACACGGCGTCACAAAATATTGAAAAAAATATATATTATAAATTACTACTTTTATGCTGAATTAATTTTTGAATATATATTTCTGATACACAGTCGAGCCTGCTTTAAAAAATGCAGTCATGTTTTCTTAATTATTTGTTTTTAACAAACTCCATATGGATTCGGCCAGGCACACAATAGGAAAGCCAGATGATGAGGGATGAGGTCCGACAAATCCGGGTCTTCGAAAAATTTCTGGAACTTTTCGAGCCGTCCGGATTCGATTCCGGGTCACTAAAGCGAATCTTAACCACTCAGAAATCCGACTGTCGCTTACCACATACTAGAATATACTTCAAAACATTTTTTAAACTAATTTTTAATGTGTTTTCATTCCAGAACTTTTCATTTATTTTGAGAAAATAATGCAAGCCCGGAATTACTTTACTTTTAAATTATAGCACTCTGCAATATTTCTTACTTCCGTCTCAAGTCAAGTTGTATCACCAGTAATTTATTACAACGTATAGACGAAAGTACTGCATACAATCTGCGTTTAACTTCTTTATTTCACAAGAGCTATATTCCAACTCCCCATTCAGTCAGGAAAGGAAGATTACGAGAATGTAATACGAGAATAGGAGAAGAGAGAACGAGAAAGAGAACCTGCAAAGACAACACAAATGCAACATATAAATTACGACAAGACCGAACGCTAAAACATTATATTGTCTGTAAATTTTATTGAATGAGCATATTCAACTAAATATTTATTAAGAACTCGCTGTATTACTATACTCATACTTAGTAATGTTATGTGAAAAATATGTAAATCGAAATAATATGGAAAATTTCTAGGCAATCAACAATAAGTTCTGTAAGAACGTTCATTAATTAAAGTCATTCTTTTCACGATATCTCTAATAATGTGGAAAGAATGACCTACTTCTAATATTACTATTTTTAATAATTTTATTTTAAAAATTCAAGAATAAAGGGTTATCAGAAATAATTTTGTGATCTTTCAGAATCCAATTATAAAGGAATATAAAGATGACAAAAAATAACGCATTTGTAATATATACTGATATATTCATGAATTTTAATTACATTTAAAGAAAGTTTTTATGTATTTAGTAAAAAAAGGACAATCTATTCATGAATATTTGATAACTATTCTCTCTATATAATTATATTACAATAATAAATTATAATTTTTCTTATATAGGTAAATGTCTCTTCAATCCGAACAAAATTTCGGTAGACTTTCTCACAGCTCTACAGGTTAAAAATCTCCTTTATTGTTTTTCACAGATGCATTTCGGGCAAGTTTAATTTTCCTGCCCCTCTTCAGTGCTTAAGATTTGGAGTATGTTCTTCTCTTAAAAGGCATCTTAAATAGTTTATGTCGTGCTCCAACATTTCTACATTTTTAGTAAGGGTTACTAACCTGTTTTTTGTTTCCATTTTATTCCAAAAATTTCTTGTTGAATTTTCTAATGGTAGCTGTATTACGTATTATATAGGTAAATGTCTCTTCAATCCGAACAAAATTTCGGTAGACTTTCTCACAGCTCTACAGGTTAAAAATCTCCTTTATTGTTTTTCACAGATGCATTTCGGGCAATCCACATTTCGGTAGACTTTCGGTCATTTCGGTAGACTTATTGTTTTTCACAGGTGCATTTCGGGCAAATTTCGGTAGACTTTCTCACAGCTCTACAGGTTAAAAATCTCCTTTATTGTTTTTCACAGATGCATTTCGGGCAATTTCGGGCATTTACTCCAAATCTTAAGCACTGAAGAGGGGCAGGAAAATTAAACTTGCCCGAAATGCATCTGTGAAAAACAATAAAGGAGATTTTTAACATGTAGAGCTGTGAGAAAGTCTACCGAAATTTTGTTCGGATTGAAGAGACATTTACCTATATAATACGTAATACAGCTACCATTAGAAAATTCAACAAGATAATTTTTCTTATTTAATAACAAATTCTTTTAAATTTCATTGACATCTAAACATATCAATTATTCGTTTAAAAGTTTTGCAATTAAACATGAAACATCTGCTTATAATATAAGCACAAATAAACTATAGATTGCATATAAGTATTATAAATAGATTTGCAAGATTTTTATAATATCAAATCGAAACAGGCGACGGAAGCATCCTTCAATTCAATACACTTAAATTTCACGCAACACAAGATTCAGGGCACATGGTATCCTATCTTTGCTCTTATTTTGATAGGAGGAGGTAGGGGTGAGGAGGTTGGAATAGGAGGAAGAAGAACTGAGTACAACCACTGGACATTAAGGTCAAGCCACGCTACAACCACCTTTCTTAGCTTAGAGTGCTTCCGAAAATTGCTCAATGGTATTTCCAATTAATTTACATACATTTTTGGTACCTTTCCTCTAACTGGGCCAAAATTACAAACTGGCGGGGTCGCTAAACATCACTCTGAAACAGGGATTGTCCCGGTCAAACCGGAACGTCTGGCAAGGCTATTATATATGTTATATATAATAATAATAATACTCATAAACAAATGAAACAATGTTTATTATAGAAAAATACGTATACATATATTTTTCGTGATTAACATTTAAAATCCTTTAAAAAATTCGTTTTTATGATAAAAAATAATAAAAAATGCGAAAGAAAAAAATCGAAACAAAAACGAAAAGAGTAAAGAAAATTACATAAAATAAGTAATAAAACTTGGCATATGAATAGGCTAATAGAAATCTTCATTTTTTCAAATTTATTTCGGAGTGTCCCACTTTTTATTTTTTGCAAATCTTATAGATTTTGGTGGTTTCATCGAACGTTTTGGACACTGATCAGAAATTTGAGAATTCGCCCAGTTTGCATCTTCATTACTGTCTGATACTACAGACATAAAATGAGCAATGACGAAACGATCCTGAAAAAATCAAATAAATTTATATATAAAATTATATTAATTAATACATTATTGATATTACTAGTAGCATACTTCTAGAAGAATATCTCATTGTAAATAATAGCCATATTATTACTAAAAAAATACAAATTTTTAATATTATAATTAATAGTTTTAGATCAGTGGCGTGTTATCCTATGGGCAAAAAGGGCAGTTGCCTAGGACCCCTACACAGGGAGTCCCAAACCAATCTTTTATAAGAAAATATTTCCACCGAAGAAAAGTGTATGAAGTTAACACTACACATGGGGGTCCTCTAATTGAAATTTGCCTAGATCCTGGCATACAAATTGTTTGATCAAATTCAAAAATCGGAATACAGTTAAAAATTAACTTTATAAGCAAAAGTTTTTTACAACTTTTCGATTGATAGAACTATCAGGAAAGGAAAAACGAAAGACCGGATGATTATAATTTAACTTCCCTTATTTATTTCCTTTGTTCTATTACCCTGACCTGGAACGAAATCTAATTAACTAATTACAGTGAAGTTTAGAGGAAATTTCGATTACCTAAAACACGAGGAAGATAATTTTGCGAAAAAAAAACGTGTTAGGTGAATATATTTGTTGCACTCGAATATGTTGGAAACCAAAGTACTTTATTATTCTATAATATGTTGTTTGCAGACGAATATTAAAATAATAAATAAATAAATAAATAAATATAATATAATAAATAATAATTAATAATTTATAACCTATATATAAATGAGGATTTTGTTTGTTCGCTATGAACTCCTAGGCCGTTCGACCAATAGCTATAAAACTCAGCAGTTATGTTAAAAAAACATACTTCCAACTTAGATAATGTCATATATATCACCCGAAAATATTGATTTAATTTTTATAGATCAATTAATTTCTTCTTACATCCGACTTACTGGCTTTACATGTATCGTCATCTGTTGGCAAAAATTTCAAAAAATACAAAACTAAATATAATTTATATAAAAAGACATGATTTAAAAAAATAAAAATATGATATCTGTCGCATATTTACTATGACAGGTAGCATATAGCACTCACGTGCGTCCATTCGAAAGAGTTAAACAATAAAACTTAGGCTATATCAAGTATTTGGTTTTCCATCTAACAACTCGGGTTTTTTTATTTCTCAATGATATTTTCTTTATTCTAATAATTTTTCTATAAAACTCGTTTTTTACGAGGACATATTTCCCACATAGTTCATAGGAATTCTGATAATGTTCTTAATTAAAATGGGTTAAACCACATATATTTTCCAAATTTACGATTAGTAATTCCGGGTGTAACAAGCTAGTAATATAATATAATAATAATAAATTGAATTGAATACAAAGATGTAAAGCGATTCACGATACACAAAAATCTGACCATCGGTTCTAATCTCCCTTCTAAACATGATCGGAATGTCACAGCTAAATGTCAAAGGTCACAGTAGGGAGAGTCCCATCCCGACCCAGTAGAGTAAAATGACAAATATGCACAATTTCGACAGCAGCAGCAGCCGAATAAAAAGCCTCATACACAAATAATATTTGCATATATCTTGTAATATTAACACACAAAATTCTAACATCTTAACACAACTCTAATTTTTTAGCCTTCAGAGAAATTTGGTGCTGTTCAATACGAAAATGGTCATACATTGTGTATTTTAATTAGATAAATTGAAATAAAATATGTAGAGAAGAGCTAAATTAATACCTGTTTTTAAATTTGCGAGTGTTTAATTTTACTTTTTAATATAAAATTATATGTAGTTGTTTACTGCATATTCTATTTATAAAACTGAAATAATTGTGAATTACTTACTCTTTTTCTGTCCAACATAACGCTTTCTGGTATATCAGGTATAATAATATCTATTAGAAACTTTATGGCGAATATGAAATGCTAATATAAAAAATTGTATAATTTTAGTGTTTAAGAAAAATAATTTAAAATAAAAATTTTTAAGTTTAATTATTAACCTCAAAGATAAATACTACCACCATCGCTAAACCAAACTCTAAGTAGTTTCCGAGATTAGACGTGAATGCTATTAGGAAGGCGTTTGTAATAGTACCTAAAATGTTGATAAAACGAATAATGTGGAACCATATACCTGAAACAAAATTTTCATAAATAATTTCTAATGAAATACAGTACGTACATCTTTAATGAAAAAAGCGCTTATTTATTTATTTATTTTGGTGTATTAAAATCTACAGGGTGATTGAAAAGTAACTAAGTATTGAGAATTCATTATACTTTTTGTAATAAAACAATTTACTTGTGCATGTACTGCAGTCAATGAAATTTTATAATTCCCGCATCGATGATGTGGGCAGTGATCGAGAGAGGCTGTACGCGCAGTGACAAAGCAGATGGCCGAGTACTGATTGCTGCATGCTATGAGGTGTGGATGGAAATCAGTGGCTGATGTGCAGAGATGGTAGCGTACAGTGAAGTTACGTCATGCCACAATACAACTGGAGACACTCAAGAATTATCATTCGAGGCCAAAATGATCACATGTTTGGTTGCGGAAGCACAGATAAATACACTTACTACAAGGCTTACATCCACATCACGATCTGAGGAAAGCATGTCGTCGATAGATGGCACTTGAATTTTAAAGTATATATCCGTATTTCCATTTAGTAAGATATAAGTCAAATAATTTTAATCATTTTCTCACTAGAAATATAAAAATTATAGTGACTTTTCAATGCCTAGTTACTTTCCACCAGTATATTAGTTTGAATATAGTAAGAAATTATATTAAATCCTTCGAATTAAACTAAAAGTTAAAAAAGAGAACTGAGATGAATATAATGTTTAAATTTTTAAAACAAATTTTAAATAATAGCAATATTAATTTTTCTGAATCATGTATGTACTTTTTACGTCTAGGAGAAAAATTAACTCTACTTAAGAAGCATAAATACGAATAACAAGTTATCTAACCGATATCATTGTCTCTGTATGCAACCGGTCTTCTGTTCCACCATAAAAGTCTTTTGGCATCGATTCTCATATCTAATAAATTAAATAATAAAGCCACTAGCGGTGCTAATGGACAGGATGCAGCAAACATCTGAAATATATCATCTAAGAGTTTAAATTGTGTGATATTAATTTCGAGACTTAAAAAACTTTTCATTTTACCATAATATATCCGTATTGTATAACTTTTTCGGTCATTTCTTCCAAACGAAAATTTTCTTCTTGTGGTTTAAGCATTTCTTTTACCAAATAATGGTGAGTCGAACTGATGTCGATTTGATTAGATCTTGTACAACATTTAAATGCATTTTTTAAACATCTGTAACAGATATGTAATAATTAAAATTATTAATAATTTTAAATAGTCAATGATAATTAGAGTTTATGATTTAAAAAAAATTTTAAATTTTAGTATCTTATGAACATATAAACAAAATCAATATGACAATAGAAAAACATGAAAATAGCTCTAGGCATTTTAATACGATTAATTTTGTGAATCGTGTGAATAAAAATGATTGTTTTAATTATTGGACTGCAATCTGAAAAAACTGTAGACCTATAAATTCCTACTGTCGTCCTCCGCCCGTCCATCTTTCCTTAACCTCGAGAACGGAGTTAAATAGACGAAATCTAGGATTAGATATGAAAACCTTTAGGCCTCAGCAAGTCTAAATCAGGCCTTGATCTTCTTTGCTTTGACTTCTTACTACAGTCTTTATAAAGATTAAACTGTATAAAACTAATACATTTTTGTTTTCTATATTTATAGAAAATCAGTAATGAAGTTTATCGGAAGTCATGTTATTTCAATTCAAAACGTTTCTCCTAAAAACAGTTAGTAGATAATCGACACTTTTTATTGTTAGAAGAAAAGTATTATATGTACGGGAGCAAGCCACTACTAATTTGAGTTGGAGAGCATATATTTTAAATTAAATTAAATAGAACTATGATTAAAAATTGCAGCCCGGCATTGTGATGATGCCACAATAAATAATTGCTCGTTTAAACTAATGTTTTTTAAACTTTTCCTTGAATATTGGTCGCTAAAGGACATTTCTAGTTATTAATATTTTTCCTAATTTTCCCCCTGATAATTTTTTATATATAATATAAAAAAATTAACAACATACTTATCATTATTTACTCTGTCTTTAAAATTTACTATTTATTATTTGTTATTTCTCCATTATCTTTCGTTTTTACATGTTACATTCTTGGTTGCTGTGATTGTCAATATATTATTGTACAGTACATAAAACTAATTTTTACTCCCGGTTGAGAAATATTGATTTAAGCAAATTAAACGAGTACATACGAATTCGAACTTACGGAAGAATAATATCGTAATAAAGTTTCGGAATGAGTTTTGTAATCATCAATACTAAAAGCTGAAAAGATAAAAGTGCCATACAGTTATCGTTTTCTTTTTCTTCACAGTCATCTCGATATTCTTTACCCAATCCAAGTATCCCGCTTTCTCCTGGATCCTGATATAAAACAATGATATAATTAGTCAATTACTTTACTTATAAGGTATAAAAAAACTTAATTTTACATTACTAAGTAATATAAAGTTGCATACTTTTCTAAAAAATGCAATGTAAAATAGCGATGTATATGTATTAGCAAACTGAAAGGAAAACAGTTTGATAATCAAAGCATCATTGTAAGCACTTTGAGTCTGATGATTTTCTATAAATATAGAAAACAAAAATGTATTAGTAACAGTTTAATCTTTGTAAAGATTGTAGTAAGAAGTCAAAGCAAATCAAAATGAAGATCAAGGCCTGATTTAGACTTGCTGAGGCCCTAAGTTACAGGCTATATGAAGCTTTTCTCTTCACTAAATAATAATAAATTTATCATAAAACAATTAAAAAACTTATTCAAATTATATAATCACGTTTTACAGGCTTCACTTTTTATATTATTATTATTATTTCGTGAATCCTGCTATCATGCGATTGTGCGTTTAGTTCGATCATGCGATTCGATTACAAAAATAGATCAAGCATTTGAAAATAGTTTGAGGAGGGAAAACATTATTAAGGTTAATTTATTCGTATTTTATAGGAGAAGATCAAGACGTAAATTATGAATCAGTATGAAATACTTAAATCTTTATTATAATTTATGAACATTTTAAATAATTATCTTGCTTTTAAAAGTAAGATTATTCTCGTTACATCAACAGATAGATAAATATTATTTTATATTATTTCATCATTCTCATTACTTTCAATTCGATTAAAAAGAAATTACGAACTTACTCACCCCAGTTGGTTAATTTAACAGCAAAAAAATTATAAATCTATGAAAAATTATAAAGTATTAAAAGTTCAGGCTAAATCATTTTTCTATTGAATAATTTATTACATACCTTTCCCAGTATCATGATAGATAATGTGTTTAAATTAGAAGCGATAATAGTATTATGAAATTCGTTACACTCTTCGTCGTCTTCGCATATATTTATTTCTATGTAAAGTTTGTATAACACTACGGATATTACGCTGATGAAGACAATACAAATCTAATAATATAGATCTAACATTAATTACATCGTATAAAATCAAAAATTATCGTTAATTTGGTTATATATATATGTTTATATTTAACCAGGGCCATTCAGATGTAACGAGAGTCTCGTGCTACATACCGTTTTGATGTCCTCAGTATATTAAATACACAAAATTGGATTTAGAAGTTGTATTATATTTTTAGTTGTTAATACATAATACAATAAAATGAATAATTTATAAAAAATATATTTGTTAGAAAGGCCAGGCCAAATGGCCTTTATTAAGCCATATATTAGGCCCAGGCCAAATGGCCCTGCTTGTCCCCAGTTTGATAGGTCAGGCATGTAACATACCATGATAATTAAAACAAAAGTCGAAAATACATATTTAAAAAATCTCCGCCTGAATGGATAATATTCTTTTCTTTGTTTGGTAATAGAATCAAGATAATATTCGGTTCCATAAAATTCTGGACGATCTCGTTCTGCCATGTCAAAATTCTCGACGTGCCATACATGTGCCAGACTGGCTTGCTGTCTTTTCCATACTTCGAGAAATATTGTACCTGCAGAAATAAATAAAATAGTAATATAAAAGAAAGCAATTTTTATTCCTTATTTACGTTAAATATTTCGGGAAAAAAATAATTTTATAAACTAAACAATTCTTCAAAATCATGTAGGAAAATATTATATACAGAGTGTTTCGCAAAATAGTGCATATTTTTACAGCGTGTTCTAAAGGCATAGGGGATACAAAACTGTCGTATAAACATAATGACTTTCGTTATTTACATAAATACCATCATAAAAGTAAGTTCAAAGATTATTTGAAAGTGTTTAATCAAAATTTTATCAACACTGTTATAATTTATTTTCTAATTTTTCAGAAAATAACTCTCATCTTTGTCAAATTTCAAAAGCTTTCAATTTCATAGAATGAATTTTAATTATTTAGCATATTTAATTTGTAAATATAATGTAAAAGTAAAAAAAAATTTTTATAGAAATTAGTAAATTAAAATTTAATTACTTATATTTTTCTAAAATGATAAAGGATTAAACTTAAACAAATACAATTTTATAAATAAATATGTATAAAATGTTGATTTTACATTTAAGATCATTTACAAAATGTACGCTTTGGTTTACAATTACTGGTTTTGGTATATTAATAGATTCGTTTATAGGAATAACTATATCAGAATGATATTGCACTGGATTTTCGAGTTTATTTTCTTGGCGAACCGTTGTCCTTCGGAAAACAACAGAAAACAAATCAAGGTAATTAACTTTCATACAGTATATAAAAGGAACAAAATCTCTGGCTAATCATTCACTTGATCTCCAAGTAATAACATTCATCATGAAAACCATGGTAAGCATATAGATAAACACATTTTAAAGCGTATTGTAAAATTTCGTACTTACTAAACTATGTGGAATCTTAATCAAAACATTTCTAAAACATTGATTTTTTTCTATTTTTTGTAGTTCGCCGCTATCGTTTTGGCTGCCTTGTGCGCCGTCAGCATGGCTGGATACCTTGGAGGAATTGGAGGAAGAGATGCCGCAGTAACCGTCAGCCTGGATAACCAGAGAGCCGCTCCTTACGGAGGACTCGGCGCTTACGGTGCTTATGGTGCTTATGGACTCGGACACGGCGCTTATGGAGCCTATGGACTCGGATACGGCGGTTACGGCTTGGGTCTTGGTTACGGAGGTTACGGACTCGGCCACGGAGCCTACGGACTCGGATATGGACTGGGACTCGGCTACGGAGGTTACGGTTTAGGTTTTGGAAAACTTCATTAATAAATAATTTATATAAAAGTTAAACAGTGATTTTGTGTCTTTTAATTCGAAGAATACATGCATGAGATTTAAAAATGCACATTAGGAAAATTAGAGAAGAATAAAATTATAATTTTATAAAAGTTATCAAAACTCAATTATAAACAAATTATTTGTTTTCATTTTAGTTCATCATTCTTCATTAGTAAAATAGATTTTTTTAAGTTAAAAAATTAAATCGTTATAGATATAAATGATACATTAACATTATGATCTCGTTATAAATTAGTAATAAGTTTCCAAAATAAAACATTAAGATTTCGTGTATTTATTAGAGAAAGAAAAGCCACTCCATTTCAAATATAATAATATAAAACTTGGCAATATGAGAAAATTAAGATTTCTTGAAAACCTTTGATAAGACTAAAGCATTACTATTTTACATAGAAACATTCTGCAATTCAAAATGTAAAACTGCATTAATATCGTAATAGCGAATACTAAGAAGTAATCTATTAATTACAGGCCTATAAAAATATATATAAACCTATCTCTTTTGAAAAACAATTTTGTATATGTTATTATATGGCATCTATACTACGCAACACGGGCAGAGGCAATAAAATAAATTTAACACTAAATGCTAGGCATGTATTTAACAAATATTTTATCCAAGATTGTACAACTGTAATGAAAAAAACTAATATGTCTTGCTTTATCAGAAGCTAGATTTTCTTTTTCAATTTGGATGAAAATAAAGGAGAAACAGGCCAGCATCATACAATATTAAAATTTATTCTTCTCACAGAACAAGTTATCTCTATAATATAAATAATGCAAGGATAAATGTTTATAGTGTGCTTTCTAGTAGACCTAAATATTTTCTTATCTGTTTTTTTGATGGGACATTTGCGATTGTTATCGCATATTTATTGTTTTATTCTTAACGATAATTTATTTTTATCTTTAAAAATATAAAAACGGTCTTAAATATACTCTATCATTTAAGTCATTTTTTACATCGATTTTGCATTCGTGTTTTATTTCCATTTGTGTACAATCGTTTTTCTTTTTGCCATTTGAGTTTACTTTCGTTGCTATTCGTTCAATTTACTTTTTTTAAAGAAATTATTAATAGTTATTGATGACGGTTAAAAAATTTCCTCTTTACAGAATTAATTGAATTAAATTTTTTTTATTGATTTAAGAATCAATGTATATTTCTAATAATTTTAACTATTGTTATTGTTCATTCTACATGTTAATTTGAAGTTGAAAATATTTTAACATTATAAATTCTGCTATTTTTCATCTGGCCTATGATCTTTTTAATATTAAATAAATATTTTCAGAATATACAAAATTAATTTGCTAGAAAAATCGAAATTTATTGTTTTTAAAAAGTTCAACAACAGAAAGATAAAATATTAATCACAAATTTAAAATGAGATATTAGATGCTTGTTAAATTGTTTGACGGCCTTTTAACACTAGAAATATAACTATATTGTTAATGTAATAAAATAACAATATGTTAGGAGTAAAGACATTCATTTAAGTTTTGCTTGCTTCATTATTATTAAGTTATTCATAACGTACTATAAAATATTTCAATATAACATAAACAACTTAAATATATCAAAGATTCTTTTGTGTTTTAATCAAATTTTTATTTTATATTATTTTAAAAAGATTCAAATAATATAAAATAGCAATAAATATAAAAAAAGTAATGAATTAAATTATTTAGCTTTTGTAAGTATGCAAGATTTTTATTTTAAGATGTTTTTATAAGTTTATACTGAAAAAAAGAAGCAACAATTATTTAAAATAGAAAACTAGTTTCGCATTGATAATAAAAAAATTAGATCCGTAAGATATATTAAAAAATATATCATCATAAAATTCTTTCATTATATAATGGAAACAATCGCAATGTAGAACTGTTTTTAAGTTTCATATAACTACTTATTCACTTATAAATTATATGAATAATTATATTGCAGAAAGTAATGAATATTCTGATAAAAAATGTTTTGCCGATAAACGAAAGAAGTATTAATTAATGTCTGATCAGGATCAGATGTATGAATATCTTAGGCACGCGCCCATGGCCTCTATAGGAAAATATATAAATAATAATAATAATGAAATTCAAAAAAAGAGAGAGAAACGAAAAAAAAAAAAAAAAAAAACTTAGTTNATTCAAATAATATAAAATAGCAATAAATATAAAAAAAGTAATGAATTAAATTATTTAGCTTTTGTAAGTATGCAAGATTTTTATTTTAAGATGTTTTTATAAGTTTATACTGAAAAAAAGAAGCAACAATTATTTAAAATGGGAAAACTAGTTGCGCATTGATTATAAAAAAATTAGATCCGTAAGATAAATTAAAAAATATACCATCATAAAATTCTTTCATTTATATAATGGAAATAATCGCAATGTAGAATTATTTTTTGTTATTTTAAGTTTCATGTAACTACTTATTCACTTATAAATGATATGAATAATTATATTACAAAAAGTAATGAATATTCTGATAAAAAAATGTTTTGCCGATAAACGAAAGAAGTATTAATTAATGTCTGATTAGGATTGGATGTATGAATATCTTAGGCATGCGCCCATGGGCCTCTATAGGAAAATACATAAACAATAATAATAATGAAATTCAAAAAAAGAGAGGGAAACGAAAAAAAGAAATGATTTAGAACACAAAATACAACAGACTATTTATTTATATAAATACTATGTGAATATAAAGTAAAATATAGTAGAATTTCTTTGATGACTTTTATCATTTCATATATAATTATATAAATTAAAAAAAAATTATCGCATTTAGGTTTTTGTTGCAAGGGGCGTTAGTCTTTACAGGAGACCTCTACAACTGGGAATGCTCTGGGGCCCACAAAAGATAGTTTTAATTAATAATAATAATACTAAAGTTAATATTAACAAAAGCAAATATCGTCTATAAACAATGTTAAAATCATTTGACATTATAGTATTAAATACCATAAATTTTATAGTTTATATTCAAATATTTTACGTCCAAATGTAAAATCATCAATAAAGCTGTTGCGAAATAAAGTAAGTAACGATTTAGAAATCAAAAGCAATTAAATTAAAATTATTGAAAAAAAATCAGAAATAAACGTTTAACTTAAATTAGGAACTTTTATTAAATCTTTTATGAGATTTATCAAGCCAGGGGAGGGAAATCAAATTGTTATAAAATAACTGTTTTTCACATGTAGTCCGAAATCTTAAGATATTATTTTCATTTTAAAAATTAAATTTTTTAAGAAAAAGTAAAAATTGAAACACATATAGCTTAACAAAGATATTTCTAAAAAAATATTTGAATTATTATTAACAATGATTAGATTTCTGTTATAATTTATACGAAAATTAATATTAAGCAATTAACTATAATTATGTTGTTAACTAGATTGAAAATAATTAAAAGTTAGCATTATTTAACATATTGTTAATAAATTTAAGCTTAGATTAATTTTAAATGTCAGAAAAAATATTCTTCTAAACACTTAAAATATTTGCTTTAATTAAATTAGCAACTTAATAAATAGTTCTCATCTTTAATTATATGAAAATTAAAATCTCATTTGAGTTTTTTTATTTTTAAAAAAAGCAAGGCCGCTTCTTTTTTTAAAGCATGCCAATCTAATATTGGAAAATTAATTCTAATAACCTTAATCATTTCTTATCAATGAACCTGTAGGAATTTGATTTATTAGATATTTTATAGTTGCCGGTTTAGTTATATTTAGTTCGTAGGTTCTATATAGAAAATCATTTACTTCTACGGCCTAAAAAACTGGTACTGCACCTAACCTTCAAGTTTAATTCAAAGGCAAACTGTTTCTTGAATAACAAAAACGAAAAATCAAGGTGATTGCTTCGGTATATAAACCGAACTCCGTGGTGTATTGATCATTCATTTACTTGACTCTCAAGTAGCAATTTTCATCATGAAATCCATGGTAAGTGCAGTTTATTTAAATTATATAAATATTTATAAGTTTTCGATTTGTTTCTATACCGATGATATTTTTGTAGTTCGCCGCTATCGTTTTGGCTGCCTTGTGCGCCGTCAGCATGGCTGGATACCTTGGAGGAATTGGAGGAAGAGATGCCGCAGTAACCGTCAGCCTGGATAACCAGAGAGCCGCTCCTTACGGAGGACTTGGCGCTTACGGTGCTTATGGACTCGGACACGGAGCTTATGGAGCCTACGGACTCGGATATGGCGGTTATGGCTTGGGTCTGGGTTACGGACTCGGCGGCTATGGCGGTTATGGATTGGGTCTCGGTTACGGACTCGGCGGCTATGGAGGTTATGGATTGGGATACGGTCTTGGCTATGGTGGCTACGGACTCGGCGGAAAATTATGGTAATTTCAGGTAAGAACAACATTATATTTCTGAAAATCGTCTAGTTTAAATACTGTTTACGTGATTTGCACGATTTTATTTTGTATTATTTTGAAATAATTCACTCTTTTGATATATTAATAATAACTTTAAAAATATTATTTATAAACGTAAAATTAAATTAACACTTTATATGTATATTCAAAAAATGAAAAATTTCGTACCATACTGAAAAAGTTCAATGATCTCATTCATTAAAATTTAAGAATTTACTTCATAAATTGTAATTTGGAAATAACTCGGTTGAATTTTTTCATTAAAGTAATTTCTGTCATTTTTTTACAGATTAAACTTAAATTTTATTTATGCTAATTATAAAAAATAAGCTTTTTAAATTTTAAATTATCTGCAAAACACGGTTAAAAATTGCATTCATAAAATAAATCACGTTGATTTTAATGTACAGTATTTATATGGAATAATTAATCTTAATTCGCGAGAATTTTTGTTTATAAATACGATATAGAAATTCTACTTACGCGTAAACTTTACTGTAGAGAAAATGAATCTAATTTATTTATTTATTTTTTTCTTTTATAGAGATAAATAAAAGTGGATGGAAAAGTCTTCAGTGCTGTACATAATGTAGTAATTGATACACGAAAACGTCTAAATTAAAAATAAATTTTCCAAAATATAACAAATTTTTAGCGTATTTTTTTGTTCTTCTATATCACATTGCATACAAACAATATAATTAATTTACCATCATTCGAAATTGATTTAATACATCACTTTGATATAAACTAAGGTATTATTATCATTAAATATTATAATTAGTTAATTAATATTTATATTTAATATTTATAGCGCTAACGATGCAGAGCCGCCGAGAGATTGTAGTCTATGAGGCCCATGGTTGGAGAGGGTTCCCTTTACTCCTTAGCGAGCCCCTTTTGCCTTTTTTTAAAAAAACAAATGGAATATGTAGAATGTTTCTTTATTATTAAAAAGCAATCTTAAAGATTTTTTGTTAATAAAAATAAAATTAATTTATAGGAACCACTATGAGCCCTTAAGTTTAATACGGAAAAATCCCCAACGCCCCTCCCTTTAGACGTCTTGCTTAATCGCAGTTAAAATATTTCTAGCTATTTAAATTTATAGAAAGTTAACGTGATTATTTACTGGAAGGTCGCTTAAAATAATGAGGGTAACTACATTACTGCAGATTACCTTGAAACATTTAGTACTGTATAACCACTTCATAAAAAGTTTAGAATTTTGATAGTTAAAAATAATTAAATTTTAAATTTTAGTTTATTATCAGCTAAAAACATTTAAACTGCATTTAGTTTTGTTTTCGGAATTATATCCTCTTACTTTCTAACAATTTGTATAATATAAATGTAATAATATAATATAATATTATATATCGAAATGAAAAGCGCGCTCAATATCAAGTTGGCAAAGTTTACTAAACTATATTTACCTGTCGAATTTCTATATTTAGATTATTTCAGAGTTTATTTCTTCTAATATGAAGATAATAAAACGATTAAGAGTAAAAGTCAAGTAATGACAACAAGGAACGAAGCATTAACCATCCATTTAATCATGGATTACACGAACTGGATTCAAGTTCAAATCCCTTACGTCTAAAGCAGAGTTTTATATGATTATTTGATTGTTTAGTAGATGTTATTTAAAAGAATAATGACACGAAATTCATGATTTATCTATTTATTAAGAAGATAAATACACATGTTTTATTTTTAAAAATATAGTACGAAAATACAATGTTAAATATGGTAGACTATCATTTGTTTTGTGAGGGAAAGCAATTACATTAATTTGGATGAACAGTTGTAGATTTTCAGCAGAAAAATGTTTAAATAAATTCAATTTACAATACAGTATATTCTTAGCAATCATTAAGCAATATGATTTAAATATATCAGGTATTTAGACTACTCTTCCAATTCTAAATATTCAATCAACTTAGGTTTTCAAGTTTACTAAAATAATTTAATTTTTCTATTATGTATTCGGGAGACAAAGACGAATCTAGATGGGCGATAGAGATAATCTTCCCTTAAATTTGTTTTCATTTTAATTGTTAACAGGATTTTCATTATTTCTTCAAAATAATATTTTTATCGTTACTTATAATTTTGTTTAAGTTCATTTTAAATAATAATTAAAGCAATAGAATTTTGTATATTGATTATCTATCTCATTACACTAATTAAATATCTCTTTTATACGATTTCCTTCTGGATTCTCCTTTACAATGGAAAACTGAATATACAGTATTATCAAGCGGAATCGGCAAGTTCTTGCATTTCAAATATAGAATAGTTGGAAAGATGGAGAATATTTAATTATTTATTTATATATTTATTAATCTATCAAAATGCGAAGGCGAAAGAAAATGGAAACTACCACTATATTTTTTCCTATTTTCCCAAGATATATTATCAATAGACAACATGAAATTAGTAATTCACGATCACATCAAAACGCTCTTCTATTGAAAAATGAATACAGTATAATAATAGTAATAGTAATAATAAGCACATTAAAAATAATATGCAATAAAAAATAAATTTAAATAAAGGACCATATCCTTGATTATGCAATATTCCTTTTATGCAAAAAGTAAATAAATAGGAAAAGTCCGGCTTTATGCATTAAAAAATACATAAAATTGCGTTGAATAGGGGTAATTGTATTTTAATTACAATTACCGGTATATATTTTTTAAAACTCGTAATTTCTAAATAAATAAATAGACTGTATTCAACTTATACTTCAAAATTTGGTCAATTATACAGCGCTGTACAATTACAAAAAAAGTTTTTTTATTGAAAAGCATTGGAGGAAGGACATATATAAATATAATAAAAATATAATTATATTTTTACTTAAAACTAAGAATCGTGTCATCAAAGGTCTCAACGCAGAATCCGAATATTCTTAAAGTATACAGTACTGTACATCCGTTATTATTAATTTTTTCTCGCCTACCCCTAAATTATCAAGCACGTACTCCTGGGGTGTACATATCCCCGGTTGGAAATCGCCGCTATATATAATGCATAATGCATAATGCATGTCGAAAAATCAAAATTTTGCTTTTATTATAAATTGTTACACTAGAAAGTTACCTTGTATTTGCACATGATAACAAATTTTGAATCATGTGCATTATTTGTGAAGAAATAAATATTACCATTTCTATCAAATTTGTAAAGCGATATTTTCTGTCAAATTTGTTTGTAGTAGGCAAAGTTTAACCTATCGTTTATATTTACTTCTCTAATTTATTAAACTAAACAATGATCTCATTCTCTATTTCTCTCTGTAATACCGGCTGAGCTGATATCGATTTCGCCACTCGTTGCACAAAACATTGCTTCCCCTCTCTCTCCTCAGCCCTCGTGTTATCATGTCACTTCACTATTAAGAAACTTTCACATTTTAAATGTAAAGAATTATATTATTTTATACAAAAATATTAAATACATAATTAATGTGTTAATTTTTTTCTAATATATTTACCTATTAGGCAACTGTTTGAAGAAAAGAATAAAAAAGTATAGCCCCTACAAACCCTCTTATCATTGCTCTCTCCAAAATCTCGGAAACCTTGCCCCCTTCGCAGTTTTCGCCCCTTCTCTTTGAGTTCACTTTACACCTATAGTTGTGAACAAATGTTTATTTTGTTATGCTAACGTTAAGTTCATTTTATCTGTTTATTCTTCTTAGAAAGTTACGACGGCTAATACGTCAAATTGTTATTTTGTACTGTACTGTATATAACCTAATTAAATTATGTTACGTCTAGAAAGTGTTTGTTTTGTCAGTGTCTTCAATTCATTACACGAATTAGAAAGGCGAATGAACTTAACACGAACACTTCACAACACTAATTGAAGAAAAGGATTGATAAAGAACTAAAGAAAAGGATTGATAGACGGAAGCACTATTCGCTCCAAATGTAATATTGGTAATATAAAGTGTACTGTAAGAAGTAAATATTGGGAAAGAAATGAGCCAAATATCAATCAAAATTTTAACCAATCAACCAATTTTTCAGTGCACAGGGCTGATTTTTATCGTTTAATTAAAATGTAATATTCTAGGAAAGTTTTAATTATTTCAACTAATCTACATATTAATTTATTCAAAAATTATCTAATTATTTTACTCTATTGTGTAAAGAATATTTTTGAAAAATCAATTGTAAATGTATTTGCCAAATTTTTAAAAAATATTTTAAAATAATTATCAATTATTATATATTCACTAATCCAATTATTTATTAAAAAATAAAATAATACATAATAAATATGCTAGATTTTGAGTAACAATACAAAATGTAATATTATAGTTACAACGCTAAAATAAATACTTTAGTAGAACTATTTTATGAATATTGTTTAAAGTAAATTGTGGTTTAATATGTTACATATTGTCTATAACTTACTATATTCTTCTAAGCTTTAAAATTATCTTGCATAAATGAATACATGTGTTCTACAGTTTAAAGAATCTATAATTAAATAAAATTATTTTAAAATATTATTTAGGTATATAACAAGTAACTTTAATGTAAATTTAAAATTATAGCTTTCTCGAAGAAGTAAGAATGAAATATCTTTATTAGATCACTCTTAAGACGTGTGTATCCGTCTTTATGTAGCATAATAAAGATTATAACATAAGAGTAATTGAAACGAACAGAACATTACTTGCATAAATTGTTTCTATTTATAAATTAAGCAGCATTTATTTTTATTTACAAAAATATAAAACTAAAATTCTTGATTCGAATGAGTTGTACTGTACTGTACATGTTTAAAAATTACTAAGTTAAAATTTTACGTGATATATATTAACTAGAACACATTTACTCGTTGCGTGTATTCTATTTGCATGATTCTAAATATACTTTATAAAGGCCGTCGAATGAACATTAAAATCGAAACGCTCTATTATTTAATGCCTATTAAGTTTATAACATATATATATCATAAACCAATAAATATTTGAACTTCATTAACGTATTAATGAGAAATTTTTCTAAAAAATAATTTTGTTTTTATAACTTGAATAAAAATAACAGAGCTACTTTTAAAATGCTTTCTCCTATTTTAATTTTCATATGGATATGCATTAGGGGAATAACTCTAAACATATAAGTATTATACTTAGCCTATATATTATACTTATAAGTTTGTATATTGTTATATTAAATAAATAACAAAAATACGTATATTTAGTACAAACATTTTTTAATTTTCAAGTTAACATATTCAAATTGCTATTGTTGTTATTTTGTTGCTATAGTAGCATTTGCTTCTGATATTGAGCAATGCTAAGAAACAGCGTGCTATCGACATTCGCTCTGCAGTTGAACAGACCAGATATTGGTCAGAAAGCGAATGTAACAAGACTACAGCAAAGATAAATTAAAATAATAAAATTATAAAAATTTGCGGATTAATTAAAACACAAGGATAATATGTGTAATCATTAATTTTCTAGTCATCTGAATGACTTGATTTTTCTTACTTTTATTATTTTAATAGATATTTTTATAATTATAAACGATGCCTTCTGATCAAAGTAGAAAAATTAAACGCATAGACTACGTTCTAGTATACGAAAAAATCAATTTTGAATATGGTAATGTTAGCAACAAAGTCAAAAAAGAAGAAATGATGAAAGAGAAGGAAAGAGAAATTTTTAACCAAGCTATGAAGGCGGAGCGACTAGAGATTAAAGAAGAACAAATCGGGAAATATGTTTTCGTAAAGATTCATTGTCCTTTTGACAGGTTATGTGAAGAAGCTCAACTTTTAAAAATGGAATTCCCTCTGAGAGGACTCGATTGGGTGAGTTTATGTAATTCTGATTTACTTCTTTAAAAACGCTTACGAGTTAGTTGAAATTATATTTTAATTCGTTAAAATTAATTAAAGCAGAATATGGTAGAAAGAAAATTTTATAACGATTTAATGATTAGATTTATTGGTATTTTTAAATTTTTACATTAAAAAATTTGTATTAATATAAAAAAAGAAGCCATCGTGATTGCTGACTGACAATTTATATCGAAATATTAATATATAACACTAATATAAAATAAATTTATACCTCTGTCTTTTATTTACTTGACTTATTCTGTTCAAGTTTTGATTGAAACAAAGTTCTTTCTTTGTATTCAATCTCATTCTTATTTACTATTTGTATTTTATTTCGTATTTGGGTTCAATTGTTAGACTGGGGAGGAAATATTTCGTCATAAAAGTTACATATTTTCAACTGTAATTGTGATAAATAAATATAAATGAATAAATATTTAATTATATATTTTGATTTTAATTTTAAATATTAAAACATAAAATAAGTTGAATGTGAGTTGTTTATTAGAGAAACTTGATTAATGTTATTATTAAATAAGCTTGGCTATTTAAGTCCAGAATATAATTTTATATTAAAACTTTTTGTATTGAGTAAATAAAATTTTTATTTGAAAAAAGAATTAAAACATCGATCTGACAAGTACTAAAATAAAAGAGATCAATACATCCTTATATAATAAAAATTGAACGTTTTAAATATAGTTAATTTAATGTTAAATTTTTTCTTTATGACTTAACGCTTTCGTGATCATTATTCCACTAATTTGAATGGAAATAATGATAATTTTTAATGGAAAAATGACATATGAGATTATGATCGTATAAATATATAAGCCTAAACCATATATGCTTTTTCCTTACTCGCTGCAGTAATCAGATAAATTAATGTGGATATGTAGAGAAATACACAATTTAATGTATGTTTCCATATTAACATTTGGAAATATATCTGCTTATTTAGAAATTTTATTATTTAATTAAGTTTTCTTTACACCAAAAATAACAGAATAATAATAATTTATTTGAACTTAACATAAAAATTTACATGAATGTAAATTAAGTCTCTATGACTGTTGTAATGTCTGTCATTGTAGCACTGTGTAAGTCAGAAGGAAAAAGTTCTCAGTTAAAGTTATACATGAAAATTATGAGGATTCTTCTGAAATTCGAGTATAGACCTCTCACAGTGACAGAACTCATTATGATAATCACACAGATTTAATTATTATTCTGTTGGTTTTGGTGTAGCTTAATTTTTAAAAACAATCTGATTGATTCGAGGGAATTTTGATTTTTTTTTTATTTTTATAAATATTGTGTCAGACTTCTTAAAACATTGAAGCTTGCTGAGATTTCATTGCTATTTTATTTGTTTTTCTCGCAAAAAAATCTTCACTTACGAGAAGTAAAGGTTAAGTTTATACCAAGTACAATTTCAATTCTTTTAAAAATGTTTATGAAGTTTTAAGAGCTCATTTTCTCTTAAAACTGTATTAACACTTTTTAAAATGAATCTAATTTTTATCTAATATTTTTCACATTAAGTTTATTCTTATATTTAAATATATTTTGTACTTATATATCTTCAGAAATGGTAGATATATAAAATATAATATTACAATTTCTATCGTAGAACAATAATATTTTTTCAAGAAAAATTACTGCCTTTAATAAAATAATTGTTCTTACAATACTTTTGAATTTCTATAAAATTTTTACATAAATTATTACGGAATTTTTTAAAAACTGAAAAACTTCGAGAACAAAACTAAAAAATCCTTGAAATTTGATCAGTTTATTTTATTTGCGAAATAACATATTACTGTATAAATAAAATATTGAATGACTTCTATATCGATTACTATCGATATGTCAATGTTCTTTGTAAAATATCAAATAAAATATAATTATTAATGTGTATATATATATATATTTTAGAAAAATCTGTAACATTGTATTAAAAATATATAATAATCTGTTATAGTAACAAGTGTAAACTCAGCAACACAGTTCAAATTCAATACATATTAATGATATAATGTTTTTCCGTCTAAATCAATCAAGAGCTTTAATAACGCATGTCTTTTACAGTACAGTACTGTACAAGGGCAAGCCACTATTAATTACATGTGGAGAACATATATTTTAAATTAAATAAAAATATAATTAAAAATTGCAGCCCGGCATTGTGACGATGTCACAATAAATAACTGCTCTTTTAAATTATAAATGATTAAGTCGCATACTATAGTTCACACGAATGATACATTTATTTAATCAAAGATAATTAGTTATTGCTTTAATTTAACTGAAAATTCGAAAAGTTATCTAAAATATGAATAGCTTAATTATTATATCTATCATTAAATTGTTTATACGTAAATCGTAGAATAAAAAACATTATGCGCATCGATTATAAACAAAGCAACTGAATTCAAAACAAAACAGAAACTAAAAAAAATTAATTCCTTAAACTGTTTCGATAGTGTCGTAACATGACAGAATGAAAATGCATGTTTTGACCAGCTTATTTCTGAAAATTCTAGAGATAAAACGAGATTTATTGCTCTCAACATTTCGTGTGAACAGGCAAAGAATGCGATACTAACAGATTTGTTATCACTATTTTTTTTTTTTTAATCTGACAAGTGATTAAAAATTATTACAATACATTCTAAAATTCGATTACATATTCGAAAGTAGGATAATTCGTTGTTACTCTATTTTATTATTTTTATTTATTATATTTTAAAATAACTTATCACGCTATTAAGTTACAAATATTAATGCTATTAGATGAATTCTGTATATTGTTTAAATCATATTAAAAATTTAGCTTTATTTATTTTCTATTTTAAAAAAATTAAATTATAACAGACTTTTTAAGGATCATATTCACAACCGAGGATCAGGAGTTAAGGATAGAAGTTAAATAAATTGATAGTGTACAATTCTACATATACGGCTACTTGTACAGTACAGTACAACAAAACATTATCGAATTTATAAAAAATATTGTTATAAAAAATGCCAAGAAATTTTGCGAAAATTGACACTTAAAGTAGAATATATTGTTCATTAAATTACATAAAAAGTGTAAAATTATTTACCAATAAAATCGTATTAATTAAACATTTTAATATATTGTAATTATTGATGAATTTAGTTAATATTTATTTATTTAATAATAATTGGTATATAGGACAGGTCTTCTTACAATGGTTACAGAATACATCTATACAAAATTATAGATATACAGTACAGTACAGTACAATACAAAAAAATGTAGAAAGAAAAACATTAATTTTGAATACATAAAACTTACCAATAATTTAATATTAAAAATTTTTCTTTATTTTAAGATCATTCTTAAATTTCTTCTTACTAAGCTTTCGATGAATTTTTCTACTTTTTCAGTGCATTTTTTGAAGCCAAAACTTCGATCTTAGACCACAAATTTGAGTTTATTGTACTTATATAGTTATTAGTTATTATTTAGTTAAGAATATTTTAAAAGGACATATTTATGAATTTATATTTTCTAATTTTAATAGATCATTTCCGAAACAAATGAAAATAAAGAATCTTTTATAGGCGAGGATAATATGAATAAAATTTTCGGCAAAGAAGAAGAACGTAAATATTATTATATTCAATCATTAAATTTTCATTTATTGAATAACATTTTTAATAACAAAATATTATATTACTTTATAGATAAACACATATTTGTACCTTTTGTTAAAAGCTGTACAGATTGGTTCATTAATAAAGACGAAAAAGATAAACTTTTTCTATCGTCGACGAGAAGTTTATTGGTACAAAAATATTTTTAAAAAGTTTTATTCTTTGAATAAAATTGAAATTAATATAAAATATATTTACAGGTGTATCATATTTTAGTAAATATAAATGTGGGAAAAATTCTGAATGATTCAAAGTCGGAACATGCAGAAAAGAAAGGCGAGTTTTGAATTTATTATAAAATTGAATTGGTTGTTTTAAAAAACGAATATTCCCATACAGGTTTATTAAATATGTTGTTAAATAAAGTTTACACGGATAGTTTTATTCTTCACGATCGATCTTCTCGAGAATCAGTTGCGATTCCAGTAGAAAGTGAATGTTCTGTCATAGATGTGAGTGAAAATAATGGTAATTCTCAACTATGGGCTTCTTCGACTAATGAAGATACTAGAATGGTTTTGGATCATCAATGGGGCAAAATTTTTAAACATCAACCTCTTTCATTAATACGAGATTATTTTGGAGAAAAAATTGCATTTTATTTTGCTTGGGTCGGTACTTACGTATCGTCTTTAATTGTACCTACTATTTTAGGTATTGCTGTATTTCTGTACGGAGTTGTTACAAGGTTATTTAAAATTATTGTTATGTATTGAAAATCAAAAAAATATAAAGATTTTCTTTAATAGCTTTCGTTTCTTCACAGAGTAATCGCTGATAAAGACTTATTTTATAAAAATGGAACTTTGTAAGTAGTTTTTTCAACATTTTTTAAACGTTGATTAGTTCTTACAATGAAATATATATACTAAGCAAAAATTTTATTCTACAGAATTGATGATGGAGAGTTTTACTCTTTGTATGGTCTTCATATCATCAAATCAGCTAGTGATAACGGCTTTACTGGGCTATTTGCATTTATGATGTGCATCTGGGGTAAGTTAGTAATTAGAAGTCTCGAACAATGAAATTCTAAAAAAAAATTACAGTTGAACATACGACATCACAATTAGCTAATATCAGATTGATTGTAATTAAGCTTTACTATTCAGAACTTTAAGAAGCTGTTACAAGGAAACTTATAACTAATTTCAGGAAAATTAGCATTATGCAACACGAGAGGAACGATTTCCAAACATAGTTTGGCTTATAATCAGTGGAGTAAAGTATAGGCTAATGAAGGAAAGAGATAATATAATATATATATATATATATATCATTTGCTAATAATTGTTTACAATCTGTTCTTATTAGTAATACTATTGTAAATGATAAATTTCTTGGCATTTCTTGGCAGCATAGAAGTTGAAGGGTAGAGAGATTTAAGATTTTCCTCAGTGCTTATCAATGCTGCTTTGCATCATTGGTAAGCATTAGTGTAATCTTAAGTTGTATTGTAACTAGTTCCTAAATTTTAACCTTTCTAGTGCCGAAACAATGCGTTTGAAGGGTTAATTAATTATTAATAATTCAAATATTTTAAGAAATATCTGTTTTGCTATATGTGTTTTAATTTTTACTTTTTCTTAAAAAATTTAATTCTTTTAAATGAAAATAATAAAAACTTAAAATTTAGTCCTGTATGCGATTTCTCTCCCCTGGCTTGACAAATCTTCTCTTAAAAGATTTAATGAAAATCTAATTTAAGTTAAACATTTATTTCTGAATTTTTTTCAATAATTTTAAATTAATTGCTTTCTATTTCTAAATCATTACTTACTTTATTTTGTTTTACTGCAACAGCTTTATTAATGATTTTACAATTAGACGTAAAATATTTGAATAAAAACTATAAAATCTATGATATTAAATACACAAAAATATTAAATACTATAATGTCAAACGATTTTAATATTGTTTATAGACGATATTTGCTTTTGATAATATTAACTTTAGTATGATTATTATTAATTAAAACTATTTTCTGTGGGACACTAGAGCACTCCCAGTTGTAGAGATCTGTAAAGACTAACGCCTGTACAATAAATTCTAAATGCTATAATTTTTTAAATTTAGGCCTATATAATTATACATAATATTATAAAAGTCAGCAAAGACATTCTTCTATATTTTACTTTATATTCACACAGTATTTATAAATAGCCTATAGTCTGTTGTATTTTGTGTTCTAAATCTTTTTTTTTTTTTTTTTTCGTTTCTCTCTCTTTTTTTGAATTTCATTATTATTATTATTTATATATTTTCCTATAGAGGCCATGGGCGCGTTGCCTAAGATATTCATACATCCAATCCTAATCAGACATTAATTAATACTTCTTTCGTTTATCGGCAAAACATTTTTTATCAGAATATTCATTACTTTCTGCAATATAATTATTCATATAATTTATAAGTGAATAAGTAGTTATATGAAACTTAAAAACAGTTCTACATTGCGATTGTTTCCATTATATAATGAAAGAATTTTATGATGATATATTTTTTAATATATCTTACGGATCTAATTTTTTTATTATCAATGCGAAACTAGTTTTCTATTTTAAATAATTGTTGCTTCTTTTTTTCAGTATAAACTTATAAAAACATCTTAAAATAAAAATCTTGCATACTTACAAAAGCTAAATAATTTAATTCATTACTTTTTTTATATTTATTGCTATTTTATATTATTTGAATCTTTTTAAAATAATATAAAATAAAAATTTGATTAAAACACAAAAGAATCTTTGATATATTTAAGTTGTTTATGTTATATTGAAATATTTTATAGTACGTTATGAATAACTTAATAATAATGAAGCAAGCAAAACTTAAATGAATGTCTTTACTCCTAACATATTGTTATTTTATTACATTAACAATATAGTTATATTTCTAGTGTTAAAAGGCCGTCAAACAATTTAACAAGCATCTAATATCTCATTTTAAATTTGTGATTAATATTTTATCTTTCTGTTGTTGAACTTTTTAAAAACAATAAATTTCGGTTTTTCTAGCAAATTAATTTTGTATATTCTGAAAATATTTATTTAGGGGAGATCGGGGCAACTTCGGCATGCGGGGCAAGTTTGTCAAGCGCTTTTTTTAAAAAACAAATTAAAAGGAGACTTTGGTTATAGGTTAGGCAGTTGAGTTTTATTGGTGGCTTGTTGAGTGTAGTGTTTTTATTGTTCTCCAACAAGCGTAGTTGAATTATCAAGCAAATTTTCATTTTCGTT